ATTGCTCAGAGTAAAATGGAAGTCCTGTAGTTTTCATTCAACTGTTTCATTTGATCAACATTTTCATGAATATATCATATTTCTGTCTCTACATTCTCCTCATATTTTACATTGTTTCTATGTTAATTTTAGGGGACTAAAATCCACCACTTCGGTACAATATTTAAGCCATTAGATGGATTGCCCTAAATTGCTGTAGAGACATTCATGGTCCCTTGAGGAAGATTCCTCTTGACTTTGGTGATCCCCTGAATTTTTTGCTTGCGCCATCATGAGGTTGACATTTTTGTTGTTTAATTGAAATATCTGGTCAACTTCTTGGATGGCCATTACATGTTCTAAAGATATTTACGGTCTCCGGAGGGTGATTCCTATTGACTTTAGCATCCCCAGACTTTTCCTCTATAGCAGTCACCAGGAGGTTGACATTTTAGTTTTTTAGCGAACTGTCTCCTGGACTGCCATGAAATGTGGTACAGACATTCATGTTCTCCTCAGGGGGAATTGTAATAACTTTAGTGATAAACTTTTCATCTAGCACCATCTTCAGGGCAGTGTTTTATGTTGACCAAAGCTTTGGTTTTTTTCCCAAATTCATGCAACTATTCAAGTACTGACTTCCCCATCAGCCTCAGCTCTACTCTGTATATAAGAAGTGGACGTAGTTACTGTGACATCACCCATTGGTTTGTGGACTGCCGTTTTAAGATTTTGAGTTTGGCAATTTGGCCGTCACCATCTTGGCTTTTTGCAACCATAAGTGACATGACAGGTTGGAGCACAACCAAACGCATAAGGCGACCAACATTTTACTTTCAAGAACTGAAAACGCAGTGTGAAAGGGTTAAAGCTGTAAGAAAACACAAACAACTCCCAACCAGGCAATGATGTAGTAACGACCTGTCAATCACAAGGTAGACACGCCCTGATTTATGGTCTGTTTACTCTAAATGGAACAATAACTTACTCAATGAACATCATTCTGTGGGAGACCACTCATGTTTACAATGTTTACTGAGGTAATAAAGAAAGTTAGAAGTAGGGTCATTTTCTCATAGACTTCTATACAATCAGACCTTTTTTTGCAACCAGAGAGAATGCAAGTTTATGTCACTCCTGCATTGGCTTCACTTTCCAGACCCGTAGATTGCCGCCTGGTTCTACTTAGTGTTTTAGGCTAATTAGCAAATGTTAGCGTGCTGCTTAAAAACCAAGATAACATTAACATGGTAAATATTATTCCTGCCAAACATCGTGACATTAGCATTTAGCACCACTGCGCCCAAGTACAGCCTCACAGAGCTACTAGCATTAAAAAATAATATCCATGTTCATTATCTGTTTATATCATCCACTTAAATGTAAATTTGTTTATACGTGTATGAATACAATATATATACAATTTATATAATCGGATCCTTGTCTATCACAGTTTGGCTTGTATTAATACTAAGAGATCAGAATTAGAGCAGGGCACCAGATCCTGTGTATGCAAACATATGAGTGGATTATTATTAGACAGATTAGCTGACTGATACCACATGCTCTGGCAGGAGATAATAGTGGCTAAGATTAGATAGAGCCGCTTTCTTTTGATGTGTATTAAACATTGCATTTCTCCATTTTTACATGTTAATTAAAATCTAGAGCTTTTGTTTGTGTTGTGTCTTTCAAGTGCTTAATAGGGAATTCGGGGGAGAGAGAGCATCCTCTCTGAGAATAGCAATGCGTTTGTTCTTTGCATATTTCACCTAATGGAATCAAATCAGTATGTGGTTCTGTAATAACAACAAATGGTGGTTGGTGATGTGATTTCTTACTGTTAGTCTTGTTTGGAATGTGTATATTGACGCAAATGTTCCTGCGTTATAGCTCAGATTGCATAGATTCAATTCCAGTTTATAAAAAATTGTTGCCCCGTGTTTTGGGAAAAATAATTAACAGGTCTAGGAGCATTGTGTGACATGCTGAAAAAATGTGAAGTAGCTTAGTTGTAGTAGTTTAGTTCCATATCCAAAGCACAACAGAACCATTATGTGTCAGCTGTTGATGCAAATTTTATTTACATACTACACACTTCTGATTTCATTCTTAATGTTGTTTAACACAGATCACAGACACACTTTTCACCATACGCACCACCCCTTATCCACCCACCTGCCCCTAACCCAGCGTCTACGCAAGAGGGTGCACGGCACGGACAGGAGGCGCAAAAAGAAACGGAAGAAAAAAAAGACCTCCCTGCCCCCTTCCGACGTTACACCCACCATCCAGGAGGTAGATGAGGAAGAGGCCGAATCTGAGACTGACGGACAGGGAGTGGCTGCCACGCCCACGGAGCTACCTGATACCCAACCACAGGTAAAATAGGACTGAGGAACCATTGGGCCTCTAGTGTAAAGGTGGCAAGATACATTCATACGATTGACGGAGGCTGGTTCCTTCTATTGAGATGGCCGAGGCATGTGTAACTGTATTTGTGCAGGGGTGCTTAGCCACAGGTTAGCACATTCTCCTCCCCTCTCACTAATCTTCATCTTCCTCTCAGTTTAGTTTGGGGAGCCAAGAGGACTTGGAGGAACCCCTTCCCCTTACTGCCTTCCACACGGAAAACGAAGAGGATCCATTGTCTCGGAAAGCCTCGCCCATTCTGATAAAGGAGGAGGCTCATAATGGGGCGATTGCAGTTCTTGGACAGAATGAGGAAGTGCATGGAGAGGAAGCGGCATGCAACAGGTAGGCTATTAGGACATCTCAAGTTGTTCTGTTTGTGCAGAAGACTGTTGGCCTCATGGGTTTATAAGCAGAGTAGTAGTACATTATCAGTAGTAGCTACATGTAAATGGTAAATGGACTTGTACTTGAACAGCACCTTTCTAGTCTTCCAACCACTCAAAGCTTTTACGCTACATGTCATTCACCCATTCATACCCATTCATAGACCGATGGCAGGCGCTACAATGCAAGGTTTAAATAGTCCTGCCCATCGGGACTATGTGATCATTCAAACACATTCATACACCGATTACACAGCCTTCGGGAGCAATTTAGGGTTAAGTGTCTTGACGAAGGACACATCGACATAGACTGGAGGAGCCGGGGATCGAACCACCGATTTCTGATTTGAGGTACGATTGAGCCAAATGCCCTATTTTGCAAATGTAAATGTAAAGCTTCTTCATTGGCCCATGCTACACCCTTCAACCACGTTTTATGAAAATCAGGCGAGTAGTTTTTCTGAAATCCTGCAGACAAACAGACGAACATAACCTCATTGGCGGAGTGAATTATCACCCAATTTTTCAGTTCCTCTCACCTCTACTGAGTCTTCCTCTGCTTAGCAGAGTTTTCTCTCATCACAGTCATTGAGCAGGAGTTCACTGATGAATGTAAGTTGTAATATTTACTCTCCTTTTAGATCTGTTTTGGTCTCCACCAAGTCCTTATATCTGTCAAACATCCATCTTTTTAGCAGCTAAATGTTCACCAGCTTGTCGCTAACCTTGTCATTCTGCTGTTTGTCGCTGGTGAGGTAGCGTATAGTGGACTTGAAGGCTGTTTTGCCGTAAACAGCTGCTTGCTGGGGCTGGAAACAAGGTTTATTAGAGCAATGATAATGAAATGAACCTGTTCGCCAGAAAACTAAAACAATCAGCTTGAAAATGTCAAAATGCTCTGTGAGGGGAACCGCATTGTTAGGTGACACTTTTCTTTGACTTTATATGAATAAGTCCTTTGACATTACACACTGTATTTTAGTCCATTGTACATGGTTTTCCATTGTGGTCCATTTTACTGGGGAGTGTGTTCTGGTAATGTAGCATGAAACATACACTACATAGAAGCACAGTGTGTTGCTCTGGTTAACGGCACGTTAAAAAGCCTTGTAGACTGGTTTACTTTTGACTTGTTGAATTCAGAAGAAAAATTTTTGTGTTGCACTGTTGTCCGCGAAATTTAACACTCACCTGCCAGCAAGACAGACATTCATATTTTGTCTTCCATGGCATAAGAAAGGATACCGAAGCTTGATCGAAGATGATTCAGTTATTATTCTAAGGTTTATTTTTGCATCTAATGTAAATGTAAAATAGCAGGTGTAGCAGTGGATACAAGCAGCTCAATAGAATAGAGCAGACAACAGCACAGAGTTGTTTTTGCTCTTATTGCATGCATAGGCTCAGATACAGTGTATGCTTGTGAACTTTACATTAGCAGCGTAAATGTTTCAGTAGTTCTTCAGGCTGGTGGTTCACTAATGGCTCCAGTTGAGTACTAGTCATTGGAAGACCATCTAGCCAGCACACATCCATAACATCAGAATTACATTGTTTTTTTTTCTTTTCTTTTCTTTAATTGTAAAATAATGTATGGATTTTGCTGGTCGGAGGTCAGGGGCCCCATGTTGATTCAGGTATTCAGGTCTCTGCTAATACCTGGTTGGATAACAGCACAGAAACCCCACCATGCCTGTGCCATGCAAGATTGTGTTGCTGCGTTTGAGCGGACACGGCTGAGGATGACTCAGAGGTTCGGTGAGGAGTCAGTCCTACTGCTGTGTTGTGAAGCCCCCTTCTGGTGAGGAGACAGCAATGCAACAAAGGAGCACAACACAGCATTTTGGTCAGCAGCTACATTTGAGTTTGGAGTAAATCATAACATCTGAATTTCAACACTTTGCACGACATCATTACCTAATGTCTTATAATGTGAAGCTCATTACTGCAGCATTTAATGATCGTTATCTTTGCTTTTTGTCAGTGCCCCCCCAGGATCAGATCCCACAAGCTCAACCACCAACTGCGGCTGGTTCCGTAGGAAGCCCGTCCATCATCGTCTGGCGGGTGCCCAGCGGAGCAACTATGACCTGCGTGAGCGGATCTGCATCGGCAGCATGACTGCTCTGGAGACGGCCGTCTACCAGCAGGTGCCCACTGATGAGGCAGAGGCCCAGATGTTGGCCAGCGCTGACCTGGATGACATGAAAAGTAAGGGAGACATCACTGAGGTGGAACCACGTGTATTCTCTTCTAACCTCCACTGTCCTATTGCACACTTCAGATTAGCAGTTGGATAAGTAGCCAAGAAAGAGGAGGTGTTTTTCTGCAACAGGCTGTTATTCTTCTCAAGCTACAATGTAACATAGCATGAAATAAAAGTACTGTTGCTATGTTGCTACGATTTAAACAGAAATGCCACAGACCTGGTTGTACAAAATATTAGATACACCAGTATACTAAAACTCAATCGCTACTTTCCACACCTGCTATCTTGTGGCATATTTTGGCACATGGCTGGGCCTCGTTTGTTACCAGCTGACTGAAAAACTACCTTTTATATGTTCTCATTGCTGTGGAGAAATAAAAAGGCTTCGGAGCAGGGGAATGGGAGATGATTTCCTCCGTTGCTAAATGCACCATCCGAGATGACTCGGATTCTACTTTTCACCCACGCCACAACAGCGTTGTGGGGGGGGGGGGGGGTTTCTGGCGCGATTGTTATATAGCATAGCAGCTCAGTCACTGTGCTCAACCACTTCTCCATCAGACCTTCATGATAACACCTGGTGTGGTTGCTAGGATATTTGTGATATAACTGCCAGGTATAGCAGTTTGTGTAGTCGTGTGTGAAACACATTTTCATGTTTTCCAGAATGTGCTGTTAGGCTGGTGATTCAGTTTCCAAAAGCTCACATCCTCTTTTATTTTCTGATTTATTGGGTTTTTCTTCTGATTATTTATTTAAATCTGCAACTGGTTATCCTGCTTTAATGTGATACACTGGTAATTATGGACACCAGCTCAAAATGGGAATACCAAATATTAGTATGATCAAAGAAATTGATAGATGCCAGCAGCTCCTGTGTATGTCAGCCTGCACTGAGGGATATCATTGGACAATGGGGGTTAAGACTTTCTGTATTTGAGGCGATAAATGAGTAAATGACTGTGGCGAAGGAGGAGAGAAAACTGAGGATTTCTTAGATATTTTATCTGACAAAAAAGAAGGAAGAAATTGCCAATTTTAAGTTGCATCTGCACACTGATCTGAACTGATCTGATGTGATTTTAGACTCTGTGCATGTCCCTTCTCACCAGACAGTAAAGGAAATACATCGTCAGCATCCATTCTACCTGACAGAGAGCTGGAAACCATTTTCATTGATGTCTCCACTGTTTGTATCGTTGGAAAACAGTCTTTGATTACAATATAAATGTTTAGTTATCGGCCTATTTTACTGGTCTTAGTAAAAACATATCAGGGTCTCCCATCAAAGTATCAATTTCAGCAGCAAAATATATTCAGAAAGATAGTATTTTCACCTGCATTTTGGTTTTAAGGCTGGATTCATATTTTTGGAATAACGCTCAGCAACCTCTCCTGGTAATGATAAATATATCTGCCAGACAACACAGTGATAGTACTAGAGTTATGGCAATTTGAATGTTACAATCTAAATATTTCAGCAATATTTTTAATCACTTCTTTTGCTTTCTGAGCTTCCTTAGTATTTAAATCCTCGGCATATGTATTAAGAAATATTAGATCACCCAATGGTACACATACACATTTTTTGTTGTTTTGTTTATAATTTAATTGGTTGATTATGACTCAGCAGCTGCTGCTCTTTGGTTAAAAGCTGCTTTTTTTACTGAGCCTCCAAAAGAGGAAAATAACTTAAATACGAACAGCTGTATCTTATTTAAGAAACCTGAATTATAAATATTGACGTTTTCATTTTTGTGCAAATATTACACACTGAATGATGACGATGTCAGTCTCAGATGAATATCTGCTTCTGCGATCTCGACTGTCCTTTCTGGTCTTGCTCACTTATCTTAGACAAGAATTACAGTGCCAGTCAAACCAAAACCCGCTACTGCCACCTATTGGCGAGAATGAGTATCGCCCTGCAGCTACTTTAGGTGAAAGTAGGTGAGTTTAAAAGTCACACAAAGCGTTTTAAATTCTAATAACCAGAAAATAATAGTGAGGGGGGCAAGGTAATGACACAACTAATACAATAATAACTGTGCAAATAATTGTAGCCATTAAAATGTCCAGGGTGCCACACATATTATATATTATCTGTTCCATTGTTTTGTCAAATTGAAAGAGCAAGAAACTTCTACTTTCAGTTTAAAATAACACATTACTAACTGTACACTGAAACATTAATAAAAGTATTTTAACAAAAGAACAAAAAGACTACTTACTAGAGCATTGTGATGCTGTTCACAGTGACAGTAGTTTTCCAACAAAAGTAGCTAATTTGTACTAAATGCCAAATTCAGAAAAAAAACAATGACCACTTATCTAAAATTCTTGTTATAATTCCTGCCTCTGTCAAATAGTGGTCAAACTGGAAAGCATGTTGTGACATGTATTGACTCCGTTGCTGCTCTGGTGCTGACCATCGATACGTTTTCTCACTGCTGCCTATAACCAGGCTCCACTGTGGGAGTCCCACACATTCTGTCTCATGAAACCAACCCACACAGCTCCTGGCCACCACACACACACGTTTAGAAGTATCTACTCGTGATTCCTGTCAATGATAATCGCATTGACGGTATAATGATAAAGAGAAAACTCCAGATGGATTTTTATCATTGAGTTTCTTTTACGTATATGTATATACTCAGATATTGTTGTGACACAAGAGTCGCTTAGTCAAATGCATCAAAACTCTGCATTACCACCCATTTTAATGGCAGGCCAACTACAGTGAATAATTGTTATGAGGAAATTCGTGGCACTGTTAGTGCAGAAAATAACAGCTCATCCTCATCCCAATCAGATTTGCACATATATTGCCATTTCTTGAAGACTTTTTCTCTCAAAAAGGATCCCAACGTATCTTATTGTTACAGATTACAAGCCATAGCTGTTGATCTGCCAGAGGCACAAATAGACAGAGTTGAAGAAAGAGAGTAAAATACATTAGGTGCTGTGGCAGCTCCAAAATCAGTTAAGTCTGACGCAGCTGAGTTTGTTGCAGGCTTAATTAAAACACTTGATCATATGTTTATCCTTCTGTAGTAGAAAATAGAAAATGCACCACATATCTCATGTATCCAGGGCAGCCGCTCTCTCCCAGCGTCCAGGGCATTAATTATCAGGGGATGCAGTCGATTCCCCTTCAGCAGCGACCCTGCCCCTGGCCTTTTCTGCTTTACCAGAGCAGAGTAATCATTGACTGTTTAGAAAACCGGAATCCAGATGACCCCACAGTCACTCAAAACCAGCAACTCTGATTTGTAGGGAGTGACGCTCCAACATCGACAGGCCATGTGTATCACCGCTGTGTGTCGGTAAGCTTCAGCTGCACTCAGAGTTCAGGTTTTGAGTCAAAGTGTGAGTTGGTTTTAGTCTTACTAAAGCTGAAGAAATGATTCTGAATATATAATCATATTGTCTCTGCCGGCGTCTCAGTCCTTAACCCATCTCAATCAAAGATATGTTTAACTGAGACAAACAACACCTTATTGTAAACATGTCAGGTTGGGATAGGTTTTAAAAAAAACAAAACATGACCTTCGCATCACTAGTGGTACTCTACTCTCTTGACTTGCAAAATTACCTTTTCATTTTACAAACATCATATGAGTACTTTATGGCGCAATTCAATTGGGATCAAAACATGATTTGTCTCTCGACGTTAATGACTGTGCATATTTTTTTTAATCTCAATCACATATTTTCCACAAATTCTTTAACCATATTTTTCTGAAGTATGATTCATAAGCTGTCTTTAAGCATCTCGGGATTATTTGTCTAGCTCCACCCACGAGTCATGACGTACAAATAACTAAAACGCAGATCATGTGAAAGAAAACATTTTCATTATACCTTCATTTTACTTTATAAACTGACAAGAAATACAAGTTAGTAAAATTAGTAAAACCTTTTGCTTTCCTAGTAATGCTTGTAGACATATGCACTCTCATACACACACATGCAAATACCCGCAGTGACACTCTCACACACAATATTCAAATATGTTGAGCACGTTTTAGAGAGGGTCCTGTTCAGCTCACACTGGGCCACCTGTTGTAGACGAGTCAGACCACGACACCTCAGGGGACGCACGGTTTCCATGGAGACCCAGAGGGCGGGTATGGTGCAGCTTGCTCTGATAATTGGCACCATGCTGGAGCTGATTCTTACATGTTATTCTAATATTGTCATTTAGGTGTCACACTAGCACTACTTGTGTTCTTAGGCAGCTCTCACTCTATGTTTCTGCACGTGTCTTTTTGGTGTATAAGTGTGCTTTTTCCGTTTAATGAGATTCGAGTGGAGAAGGCAACCTTTTGAAACTTGACCCTCATGCACATCACATGGTTGGAAAGTGATGGCGGCACTGTGGAAACGAAAGTCATCAACTCTTTTGCTCGGATCCATTTTATGTTGGATTGTCAAAAGCCACCAAGATCAATGGGCTGGGGACATCATTAAAAAAGGGCGGCACTACCATCCAGCTGACCGGCAGCCCTCACAAAGTAGACCATCCCTCATCAATACTTCTTGTTGGAGCTGCAGCTAAAGTGAATGTTGTTACCATTGATGCATCGCTCTGATTGTGGATACAGCAGGGGGCTTCTGCCTGAGGGTGTGGCTCCAACTTAGCATTGTGTTTGGATTGAAGGCAAACAAAAGAGTTTTTGTGACATTGAGGATCTTGTGATTTGTATCTCTGGACTGAAGGGGGATTATTTTGACTGACACATTGTTGAAGGTTTTTTTTATTGTGCTTGTTTTTTAGCTTTATAGAACTTCCTTTTCCGAAGTTGGACTCCCTGAGCACAAGCGTTTTTTTTCTTTGCTTCCTGAGGCCAAAGTCTGTTAAAAAACATCTAATATTGGAGCTGGTTTTCAAAGTTTTCATACAGGTTATTTTGCACAACCAGCGCAGGACCACAGAGGTAGGCTAGTATTTACTGCATAGACCCAATCTCATCAGAACAGCGACCCAGGGCGAGCAACGGCGTTCAAGTGTTGGAAGCCCTGGATGAGCAGTGTGTCCACTCGGAGAGAGGAGGATAGGAGGAGGTACCAACCGTCGAGATGACAGACATTGAGGGACAAGAGAACCAGGGGCATGGGAGCCCTGATAAGAAGCTTGGCACTGACCACCAAGGACCAGAACGTCGGTCCAGTGTCCAGAAAGGCTTAGGCACGCCCAAGCAGAACCAACACGACCATTACAGCTCAATGTCCAACGTGGAAGGGGACCTTGAAGAGTTTGTTTTGGATTTCGATGACTATGACTTGCTCGAGTCAATCCACACTCAACTGGGGTCACCACTCGAGCCTTCCCGTAAGTTGTGTGTAGAGAGAGATACACCTATACTCTTGTAGTGCGGCATTTCAATTCTGTCCATTCAATGCAGAGCTTTAAGTCATGGAAATTTGACAGCTGTGAAAGCTACATCAACCTTCTGATGAAGGGAGTTCTGATGCAATAGTAACTCTGAGAAATTCCCATGGATGATTCTATTTTCATATGAATGATTAATGGACGGGGGGCTCTTTTTTTCCATTGATTGTGTAGCATTCCACTTGCTTAATTGATGGCAATATAATGCGCATTCAACAAGCAGAACAAAGTTGCCCACAGTATTGAGCGAATTGACACAGTGCTCTACTGCTGCTCTTCCCTGCTTTCCTATTGATCCAGTGGCACCCATTTGGCTCTGGGGGGAGCCACAGCTAGAGCGGAAACAGATTTAATTGACCAGCAATGTGTGGCTCTACTATTTTTATCCCTATTTGGAACATGGCACATATAGCACATTGTCATGTGATGAAGCTAGGTTCCAACAGATGCAAAAGGTGATCTGCCTGCGATACCTTAGCACAGGGCTAATCAATTACAAATTCAGTTGGGCCAGATTTTATAACCAGGAAATGTAGATGGGCTAGACAGTTTCAGAAACTTATTTAAACACCTTTTTTTTTGTTTTTAGCTTTTGGCAATGATGCAATTTTAAATCAACGCAAATCATTTTTTTTATGCTCACATATCTGATTAAGGCACACGTACAGAGACACACGCCTCCGTCTTCATGCTTCAGGGTTAACGGAGACATATTTTCATGACAGCACTTCCCTTCTTGTGACTGTCATTGGCCAGATGTTTTGAAAAGCTACTGAGCTTTGTCGGAACTGCGTCGCATGAGAAAACATTGATTTGTGAAAGATGCGATTGCCGGTGTTGCCACTCGATCAATACAGCCTGCCCGATTGGTGCTGCGCTTGTGCAGCTCTCGACAGAGATGAGAAGAAAGCGAGATGACTCACTCAATAGCTACTTCCATACACTATTCAGGGTCAGGGCTTTTTAATACCCACACCCACCCAACCTGTTATGGGAGCCAATCTGTCCCGTCCAACCTGCAACAATATGCATTAATCAACTACCAGAACACAACCTGCAAACCGCCAACTTTATGCATTATAGTAGCTCAATTGTCAGGACTGAGACAAGACTAACAGAGAGAATGTCTGAGAGCCATGGTACTTGCTGTGTGTGTGTGTGTGTGTGTGTGTGAGAGAGAATGACAGAGAGAGGGGAAGAGAAGCTGTAGGTAGACTATTGCGCAAAATATTACTTACAGAAACCGCTGGACCCCCGGGTTGACCCGTGTATCACTTGACATACGGCCGATCTATGTAATGCCAGACAAGTCTAATTTAGCTTCTGCCGGCCACTAATTGAACATTTATAATCACTAGTTGGTGTAGGAGCTGGAAACAGCTAGCACCAACTGGGTACGTGGGGTTGGTTAAGCATTTATAACTAATAAGTTGCTTTTGGTAACTTTCAGACATTCATGGTCCCCTGATGATGAATCATTTTGACTTTGTTGATCCCCTGATGCTTCCTATTGCGCCATTATCAGGTCAAAACCTGGATAGTGAAAATATACTGTAGCTTTAAAACTAAAGACAGTCTGGTCAGCTTTAGCTATACTTAAGTGCTAATTATCAAAGCCAAATGTTCTAAATGAAGATGGTGCATGTCAACTTTGGCATTTTGTATTTGGTGATGTGACTGTAGACTCTTACTCTTGTTTATCTTCTTTGGGTATCTGTTGGCCTGAGGGTCAGTCATTTTTGAATTTGTTTCATCAACAAGTAAGATGGAGAATTGAGGCCAAACATTATTGTTTTTAAAAACCTTGACCGCTAGTCTCCAAGGTGAACACATCAAAGTGTGTTTGCCATGTAGGGGAGTATTACTGCATATGTGAAAAGTTGTATAAAGTGTACTAAGTGTCTCCGGAGGACGATGGGTAAATTCTGGAAAATGGCCTAAAGTGATGCCACTTGAATCGGCATCAGTTTGTTGTGAAGACAACAGGTTTAAAAAATCCAAAATCTGGAGGGGTGGAGTTATAAAGAAGTGAGCATACCAGTGCACTGCTCATCTCTGCCTCAGGCTAGCTGCTCAAGGCTATATTAGCCACTACTAGCAAAACACACCCTAATCTTTGATCCATGCTCCATATTCAGCAGGGGTAAAAAAAAAATAGCAAATCCCAGTTCCCAAAGTTCAAGGTTCAACTTTGAATCATAATAATATTAATAAGGAACAAACATTTTAGAGGCAGATGCATATTATCTGACTTTTGAGGCTCTAGATTGTGACCACTTCTATGTACTGTATGTGTCAGGCACATGTCTAACATTGATGCTCTCTATTGACATATCTATTTCAAGTTCTTGTCAAGAAATATCCCTCTGAAGAACTAACCCTGACATGCAAAGGTTCATGACATAATGTCAAACCGTTTTTTTTAAAGCCACATCCCATTCCAAGCTAGATTTTAGATGATGTGGTTAGAAATAAGTTGCAAATTCGATTTGTACAACAATTGGATTTCAGTCAGGCCAAAGAGCACAGAGGAACAGGAAATCAGATATGCTGACAATATTGAAAATACATTGGTTTTATGATTTATTTAAATTGAAGGGATTTGTCTTATTTCTAAAATGCACAAAGATCAGTGTTATCAAAATCAGATGGTTGGTTACACGGAGATAGTTCAGCTGACTTGTTCTATAACCGAGAACATGTTTGTCTTATCATTGACCCAAGTGAACAATGAATACTAGTCATGAGTCTGCTCATGTTGCCAATGTTAAGTCCTTTCACAGAGAAAAGACAAAAGGGTTTTTCTTCCAGCTCAATAAATAATAATCAGAGGTCATGAATGTGCAACAAGGTTCTTTAAATGGAATATAAATTATTAGAGAAAAGGCTCTGTCTATGATAGTCACTCCAATTCCATTTTTTTGAATGGTATATGGTTTATTTGTATTTACATTTAATTAAGTGTGAATGTTCCAGCAAGTGCATCTCAGCCAAATAGAATTTGGAAACAGCCTAATTTATGCATAACATTTAATTTAGCGGATGATGTAAATTGTTCAAAGCACCATAGGAAACTTCTCAGAGATTAAAAAATGATGTGTGGTATTGTTGGATCATAACAATATGCTCTCACTCCTGTAGATTGAGTGTATAGTGGTATTTTAAGCATATGGCTGATTAGAATCGAAGGCCTTAGCCCAGGTAAGATACCAGCTCAAGAGGAGGAAGAGGAACAAAATGATGTCCTTTTCACACAGAAGTTTATTGCGCTGTCCGTGCCCCGCCCTCTGGTGCGACAATCAGCTGGAGCAGTTGAGTTTTTCCCTTGTGAGACTACAAAATCAAATATGGCCTAACTCCGTCTTGATTTCCATTTCTCTCTGTTTCCCTTAGCAAGGCATGACGCAGCAGAATGGAACAATTACTGCAGTTTTATGAGCACACACTCACACAAACACACATACCCTCTTTCCTCTCACCTCCACTGTGGTTACCTCCGGCAGCTCATGTAAAAGATTAAAAAAAGACTGTTAATTTCTCATGAAATAAACAATGTTCGGCCGTTGGCCAGTCTGAGTGGTCGACAGCAGTTCCAGACTGAATGCAAATGTCGATTTCTAAACTGTCCCCCAGATCTTTACCATCTCCTTCAATACACCAACCCCATTTCATAACTTAACCATATATATCCTAATACAGTACCTACCCATAATCCCTACTTGCTGCCTGGAAAATGGAAAATATGCTTTGAAAAGTAGTTGATAGAACAGTAAATACACCTGATTTGCAGTTAAAACATGCACAGCTACTGGTATTTTCCTTTAACCATCTCAAATTTGTGTCTTAAATCATACATCAATTTCACCAAATACCCTATGTTACCATTTATGTATAAAAACACAAACTGGGCCTCAAAATAATTAATAATAATCACAAGTATCTCACCATGTCCTTTAACACTCTAATAACCCATTTCCACACAGGTGGTCAGCCTGTTTTTTCATTTCCCAGTTTCTTTATCCAAATGACTGACCTCACAAGCTTCCCACTCTCTCACATGGCAAATGATAGCCAGGTGCTCACCGTAATGAAAACACCTCCTCATTATGCTAAATTCAATAAAATATGATTTGTGGCTGAAGGAAATTGAAAATGAAATGACTCTTTTTGAACTGACAAATGTCTGGAGGCAAAACCACCTCCTCTGTAACAGTTTCCCATGGCGTCCATGCTGTAGCTTCTCTCTCACCCATGGAACTGTTGCCTTCTGTTACTGGATGTTCTTCTGTCAACTGGAAACTTAAACAGACATACAAATTAGATTTCTAATTTTCCAGCCTGGAGCACATTTGTCCGAGTTATAAAGGATGTTGTGTTCGTTCAGGAAAAAGAGCATCTCAAGCCGCTGCTTACAGATGCACCTAGTTAGGTTGATTTCTAAATGAGTCTTCCAGAACATCATAGTGACTTAGCGATGTTGACCTTGTACATTTTGTCTTTTTAAAAATGCTTGTGGCTGTTCAGGTCACAGGTTTGAGGACAACCCCGGGGTGAGACGCCATCTGGTGAAGAAGTCATCACGATGTCTGATGAACCGAGCCAGCAACAGTTCCACACCACTGAGCAGCCTGAAGAAGAAGAAGAGGGCGGCAGATAAGAAAACCCATGAGGTTTGCGGCCACTTTTTACCCCTAACCACATTAATCTACATATTGACCGCTGGGTTAACACTTCATATTATGCAGGTCACATACAACCAAACAGCTTCTGTTGTTGAAAACATCATCTTTAAAGCAGTATTCATTTCCTGACCACTTGGGGGCATTTGAACTACCTACAAAAGAACAAGACTGACGTCTTACACCTTATTAAGTCATCATGGTGAACATGTCAGCATGTGTTTGCACAGCATTCCTTTGGAGTGGTGTTTCTGTTCCCCCGAACACATGTAAGTCCAATATCCACTCTCCTTGTAGCCCTTGGTTTGGTCTCCACCACCTCCTGAGGGTAAATATCTGGGTCTTAAATTGTTAAGCTATTTTTTAAAATGAAATCTTCTAATATCCACTAGGCTTAGCTTTGGTTGCGTTAGGGTTTTTCAGTGGATTTTTGCTTAAAACAGCTGCCTACTGCTGCAAGAAACTCGATTAATCAGAGCAGTGAGAATGAACCAAAAGGTTTTCGTGGGCCTTAAAAGCAAAACAATAAGCTGAAAGAGGCTAAACAGTTTGAAACATTAGAGCTGGATGATAATCCTGAATGCGTGCAGAGACACCTCTCACATGACACAGAGTCACTTGATCCATCGATTAGTACTTCTTGATTAGTATGACTCCATAAATGTTTTTTTGGAGGGTAGTCTTAGTTTCAGCACATTCCTCTTCATTGACCTGATGAGACTTGAATACAAACTTGCTCCTTGTGTTCCACCTCAGTGTGACCACAGAAATGTCACAAAAACACAAATCCTATAAGTATTATATTGCTTCGCTCTGAGAACACTTTGCTAAGAAGGAATATTATGTTGAAATGTGACTGAATGTCTTTCCAAACAATTTGGTTATCCTCTCAGTCCAAACCACTCTTAGCTGGATCCAAACCACTTAGTTGCTCCCCACAAACATGTGTGTCAGCTGTGTCATTGGATTAGCCGTCTTTGAATTTATTTTTCCTATCAGTTTAATGTCGTGTTTTTGTTGAAAAACTATCCAAGATGGGAACAAGCAGACTGTGGCTGTGCTGGTGGTTTTTCTTTTTAAGTAGAATCATTTGTAGGCTGTAGGCTCTAGCCTCATTCCAGTTACGCTGTGGTAGATCAAAGTGAGAGGGGCAATATTTGCAGCTTTAAATGCTTATTTATCTGTTCTACTTCATTTTTCAGTTGTTTGTGGAGCTGAACGAGCTGATTGTGGACAAGGACCATGAAATGCGTTGGAAGGAGCGGGCCCGCTGGATCAAGTTTGAGGAGGATGTGGAGGAGGAGACAGACCGCTGGGGCAAACCCCATGTGGCTTCACTCTCCTTCCGCAGCTTGCTGGAGCTTCGCCGCACCATCACACACGGTAAAGGTCTCCTGCATGCATATAGCAAGGCAGATGTTCACAGCACCAGTCTTGTGATTTACCTATTTCCATGTGTCCATTTCCATGATAATCATGACATATAAAAAAAAAAAGCTAAATAAACTTGGATCAATTTCTCCCTAAAAGCAGTTAGCCGAGCGCTGGATATGGATACTTTTTAAACAATCAAGTTTGGCTCCTTATCTTCCTGTACCTCTCCTCCCTATATAGGTGCCATCCTTCTGGACCTAGAGCAGAACTCTCTGCCCGGCATCGTCCATCTTGTGGTGGAGACGATGATAATCTCTGACCAGATCAGAGCCGAGGACAGACCCAGTGTTCTCCGGGCTCTGCTTCTCAAACACAGGTCAGCAAGCACACTAACACGAGCTTTAATATTTAAAAGACATACAAGTTGATGCGCCTTTCACAAAGATTTGTTTATTTTCAGTACAGAGTCTTTTAAACAAACCTTTTATAGTACCCGAGGCTGTCTTATCAAGTGAGTTTAACTTAGTCAGGCTCTCTTTGACACAAACTCGGCTTCACTTAACCTAATATTAACAATGTTCATTCCTATAATTACAAAACGAAAGAAAAAAAATGATGAAGATCCATGTGCAGGGATTGGGTTCCTCAGGCCGCCACAAATGCAACATTAGTATGTTGAAACGGCTTTACTGATCCATTCACTGTCAGAAATGCTGTAAAAGAATGTCAGGACCAGTATTATTTGACTTTAGTTTTCATTCATTACTAATACTTCTGTGCTATTTCCTAAAAAAACGTTTTTATAGACATTTACTGAACTTCTAAAAAAACTTGTTACCCTGTGCTGTTAAAAATGTTTCTAATTGCCAACAAATCTCATTAAAGGCCAAAACCCCCAAAATGAATGTATCCTAATAACAATCCGCTATATGTTATTCCTCTAAGCCCTACAACTCCATTGTTGTCCATGAATTATCCAAAACGCATCAATGAGCCAGATTGTTGCACTGGGTGACCATGAACACACAAACGTACTGTAGTTCATCTTGAGTTGATCCCACATACACTGCTCCTAAAAATACTCGCTAGAGCACCAAATGTGTATAAATCCGCCGCTGGCAATAGTCCTCAAGAACGGTCCTATTTAAAGCTGTTTTAGTTACTTTTGCTATAAACTACAGTGCCCAGCTGTGCAAGGACATTACTTGGATTTAAACTATATTAAATAATGCATATATCCATCATTTATTTTAAAGATACTTAAGAATATGTTGTAAAGTTATTAGCCTTGTCCTGTAAGCACTTGTTTTGATGTGGACATATTATTTTTGACTCATAGTTGATTGATGAGGACTTTCCTCTTTTATATGTTTTTATAAGTTTAATCTGAAGGCCTAAACTAGAACTGTGTTTCTGGTTTGTGGTGTTAGTTACCATGGCATCAGATCACGATTGCATTCCATGTAATAGTTATTTGTTTCTTTATCCATGTATTAAAACAACCTGCCAGTGTATAGCAGTGTGAATGCAGCTTTGTTTACATTTTGAGCTGGGATTGAAGGTATGGCAGCATGAAGAATAAAATCCTAACCCTCCTCATTAATCATTATCCTGCAGGGGAGGTTGTTACAAAAAGGCAAACTCAAGGGAACTGAACAGGGAATTTCCAAATTGTTACATTTAACACTTGGCTCATCATCTGGTGTACTTCCCCGGGTTGAGTAATAGTTTGATTCTTCATCGTGTGAGCTATCCTGGCTCTTTGATCTCTGCCTTTTTATTAAAAGATCTTTGCTTTCTTAGTCAAACATGATTTTATGCATCCAAAATGTCTGAAAACCCAGGATAACAGATGAAAGGAGGCTGACTAAACATCAGGCTTTTTGGGTGTCTTCATTCTGAGGTTTACTGTTTCTCGTCAACAGGGTCAGTTTTTTTTTTTTTGCCTTTGCGGTTTTTGGTGCTTTGTGGTTTCTGCATACGTTTTCTTTTTTTCCATCGCGCCCAGTCAGCCAGTGTTGGTGTCAAGTTCAATGGTGGTGTTAGAAATGATTGGGTGTGATATGCTGTCAAACCAGCAGCAGTGTTTGTGTGTAGATTTGGAGAGGTTATGTTCATCATGGGACACCACAACTTTTTTTTTTTTTCAGATGGAAGGATCTCAAATCAAAAAGACATCAGTGACCAGGACTTGCGCACTAGAAAAGCTCAAACACACTAAGTGCTAACAATCACCAGAGGGGCGAGTTACATCACATCCTGCACACTGCCAAATATAAAGTCAGAGAAACACAAGCATTTGGCTGTAATATGTGTGAAATGTCATCTCCACGCTATCTCTAGCGCTCTCAAATGGTCCTCACCTATTGATCGGCATCTGCATTCCTCTGCTAGCTAAGCTGACCTAACACATGTGGCCAATGCAATAGTGCGCTACACATAGTGCATTATAGATTTATCACAGTTACATAACCCAAAAAACAAACAAGTCAACTAAATGTCAGCTGTCAAAATCTATTGGTAGAGGAAAGGTTAGCCATGCCTGTCCAAAGTCTAAATTTATATTCACATCAACTCAATCAACTCAACTGCAATGAGGCAGACTGAAGTGAATATCCATTCAATGCGAAGTGCAAATATGTTTAGTGCAAACAATTTAATTCACAAGGATCATCCGGGATATGCACACAAATAATAAAAACTGTAAATTACCTAGAGACCATTAGCTAAAGGCAGATAACACAAATATGCAAAAAGTAATATGCCATATGCAAAGTTCATATTTCAAAGTTCAAGAATTCATATACAAATAATAATTTCAGTGCATTGTTATAGGCCTTTAAGTTTCCTTTTCACATACGACAAATGCTTTTAATTTTAGAGGTAATGCCACCCAGAATTCTGTTCCTAGTTTTGGTCAATGAAAAACCATAAATGAGAGGATTCATAATGGGAGGTATAATGTCAAGAATAAACTTTCACTCATACCTGTTTAAGTTTTCTAAGGATCTCATCTTATCCTTGTGTCCCTGTATACAGCTCTCATAAGCCACTGGTCCAGTGTTCTCTGTCTGGGGGCCCCTCTGTTAAGCCAGAATGGTACAGCCGGGGTTTGCTCAGTAACATGGACAATGCATTGGTGTGATGACACTTCAAAAGTTTGGATTCGGCCAGTCGATATATGCAAATAATTCAATATTACTTACATTGTGTTGACCAAACCTAACCTGCACGGGATTGATTTTGCACACACAAAGCGACGCAACAGATAAACAAAAAATAAGATGGCCAGCGGACATTCTTAGCAGCAGGACATTGTGTGTTTATTCCATCTTTCACAGCCATTGCACATAAAGTCCCAGCATGTCCTTGACTGCGTCCACAGAGGAGACAAAACACTCTCATTAGAATCATCGCCAGTCTGAGATACCAGATTTATGACATGGAAAGAAACACATTGAAATGCTGCTGAAATTTAGCTCATCGCTTACTCAGACCACTTTAAAGATCCTCTGGAAACTACTTGAGTACAATTCACTTCAGTGTCACACCTCGTTCCTTTGTCCAATCTGGGCGCCTTCTTATTGGACCATGTGGACCTAATGAGGTGATGTCACCAATGGCCTGAGCATGAAGCAGTGTTTAAAATCCTGGCTGGTTTGACGGACTAAATACTTCTATGTAAGAGACAGAGAAACGTGCTACACAGATTAGTCTCTGGCTATTTTATTGACGTTCTAATGCAAATTTTACTTTTTTGGAGAATTCCTGTGTCAACGCAAGATTTTCTCATTAGCTTGAGTTGAAAGGTGGCTTGGATTTGGATTTTGCGGTTGACTTTTGTATATTTATGAGCTGCATTGCAACGGCATGAGGTAAAACTCTTCAGCATGTCGAATGAACTGGATGTAGATTGGGTTAACAAGAATCACAGCTGTGTGCTTGTCATTGCCAGAAATGATCCTGCAGCCCTCCTATTTAAAATACTTAATGATAATGATTTTTCATTTGTTTACGATAAAGAACTGCACTGTCATGTTATAATCATAGTTTAACTATCCTCAGGCTGGAGCGATAACATGTAGCTACACATTCCTTTTGAGTATCCCGATTCTTGGGAGAAATATACAGAGCTTGGGAGCAGTAGCTTGACAAAATAACCTTAATTGCTAGCCACTGATAGAAATATATGGCAAATCAGCAAACTCCATTTGTGGATTAAGGCCATGAAATGTGTTTTAAAGCTTGAGTGGACCTTGTGTTAAAGGACCAGTGTGTAGAATTTAGTGCCATCACCCCTCCGCTCGCCCCTGCCTTTCCAAGCGTGTTCGAGAACTACGGTGGCCTTCAAGTAACTTAAAAAAGCCAAAGGTCCTCTCTAGAGCCAGTGTTTGGTCTTGCCGTTCTAGGCTATAGGCTGTAGAAACACGGCGGACTCTGTAAAAAAGACCCGTTCCCTTTGTACATTTGAAGGGCTCATTCTAAGCTAACAAAAAAGCAACTATTCTTAGTTTCAGGTGATTGTACACTGATGAAAATACAGTTGTGAATATTACGTGTCATTAAAATGCTCCTAAATCTTAGACACCGGTCTTTTAATAAGACTTTGTCACACACTGTAATGAAGCATACTGATAAGACAGAACTTTACTGACCATGTTGTGACGCTGCCCCTTGTCAATCTGTGTCAAAATGTGGTGCAGATATTCATGGTCCCAAGAGGTTGTATCGCAATCACTTTGGTGATCCCCTGAGTTTTTGTCCAACACCATTGTCAGATTAACATTTTAATTTGTATTTACTTTGGTTGATAAAACTAACAGCTGCACTTTGAGGTTGGTGCTAATTACCATATGTTAGCATGCTAACACACTAAAACTAAGATAATGACCCTGGTAAACATTGTTTTTTTAATTTGTTTTTTTCACAGCCACCCGAGTGATCTGAAACATCGTTTTCACCGCCACCACTCATCCAGCAGTCTTCATGGCAGCTTCAATCACAACAACGTCCAGGATACCAATCTGCCACTGGTGGCTGAAGAGCAGGAGGAGCACCAGGATAACAAGGGGGGGGTATACGACCCCAAACAAGAAGTGTTTGTCAGCCTGTTTGTAAGTTCCCTTGGTACTTTCTGTATGGCATTTGTTTTGTCCGTCACAACTTAACTCTTTGTCAGTGTGAGATGCCGGTGACAAGAGATTGGTGAGATATGAGATCATGGGACAAAAGTGAAGTCAGTGAGCACAGTGCATACAATTTACCAGAGCCAAAGTAAGCGAATAAATAGTTTGGACAAGAATCCACCAGGATAATTGAACTCGGCTATCTAAATGGACGGGATAAAAGCCACGTTGAGCTGTCTTGTTCTAGTTTGTGGTTTGCATTAAGTTCTAAGAATCAGCAGTAAGCATAGATTTAAGCGTGATTACGCTAAATTCCTGATGTGAGGCCTGTGGCTCTGGCATTGTTATTTGAAACAGCCCTCCACAAGGTCAGAAGTCATGTAGGTGGTTCTTGAAGTCAGAAGGAGCAAGCCTCTCTGTGCCACATGTGTTGAATTATGTTCTGCAGCTTACAGGTGCTTCTAGTTAAAGCTTCTTGATGCATTAACTGTGAAAACTTAGTGTTCCCTGTGGCTTAAAATGTTGGCAAATTTAAAACAGCCCATTAAAAACATTCTGTTCAAACATAAATAAGCAGTCATCCAGTTGGGCGGTTTGAAGTGAATTATGATGGGCCATTAGAATATTATTGTGCACACATACATTGCCGTTCCCACAATAAGTTCACATTATTGGTCCCATGCTATGTTACGGTGTCACATCACGCGCAGCAGTGTGGATAATCTTTGTTCTATTCCTCCTCCAAGAAATCTCTCCACCCACTGCCTCTCGAGAGCCATCCAGCTGCGGCGAGATCGATGAAACTTCTCGCCAAGATTCCCAAAGATGCCGAAGCTGTCATTGTTTTAGTCGGTAAGCTCCGTGAGTTTCAACTAAGTCGATTAGTTGAAGGAATTATGTCTTCTTCTTCTGTTCTCAAGAGATTAAGTAAAATATTGAAATGACATTAGTATGACACCATAATCGTGTCGTCTTTAGTTTGTCTTTAGTTTGTAGTGTTGCACTGCTGTTGATGTAAAGTCAACACTTCTGCAGCTGCTTTTCTTTGCCCCTTTAGGACCTCGAAACCTTTTTGCTGTAAAGCTGCAGGATGACTTCTTTTTCTTGAACAGCAAATTAGCACTGCACACAGACGTCAGTGAAGAGGAGATTCATTTTGCAGAGTCATTTATGTTGAGATGTTTGAGAACAAACTGTGTGTCGAATGTACTAATAGCCGAAGCCCAATCACCGATTTTGTTACCAAAAAACAAAAAATATTGAACTACACGCGGTTTCTTTGTCGTTTCCTTTCAGGCTCTGTTGACTTTCTGGAGCAGCCAGCCATGGCCTTTGTCAGGTTGAATGAGGCAGTCCTTCTGGAGTCCGTGCTGGAGGTCCCCGTCCCTGTTCGCTTTATTTTCGTCCTGCTTGGTCCAAGTCAGTCTAACGTGGACTATCATGAGATTGGACGCTCCTTCTCCACTCTCATGTCTGACAAGGTGGATGTGAAACTTAAAAGATGTGAAATTTAAATCAACCCTTTCTCTTGCATCTCTAGGGGGATTTTGAGCTTTTCCATTTTAAAATGTTCAATCTTTTTGGCTGTGTTAATGCATACGGCATGAATTTTTGGCAAAGGTATGAGTTTTGAAACCTTTTCGAGGTGTGAAAAGGTTTTTTTTCTTTCTTTTTTTTCAAACACAGCTCCTATAATAAGTCTGTAATAAACTGTGTAGCCAAACTACAGAGACTCAGACCCTTAAGGACAAAAATGTTGCCATTGTAACCCATTCAAACCAGACTTCTTGATCCCACGACCATTACAGCACGAAATCATGTATTCTATTATATCAGGGTTTCGATCTAGAGCCCTGGCTTCACAATTTTCCACCGGATTGAGCCATTTTGTCATGTTTGCCCTACAGGCCAAATGCATGCTATATTCCTGGTTTCCACTAGGGCTATTGCTGCTGTATTATTGCACTGCGGTGTCTTAAAACATGAAAATCAGTGTTGCTGCTATAATCAGTGACATATCCTAGACAGTGAAAAATCACTCCTAGCATTTAGTAAACAGAAAATAATTGATTGTAATTTGAAAAGGAAAGAAACAATACAACGTTTGAAATAAGTAAACAATAAAAGGTGATTATGGTCCTTCAGGGCACATGTTTGTAGGCGCTGTTATTCAGTGGTGTGGTGGACATCTAAAGCTTAGCATTTTAGTGTTTTTTTAACAGTTTTCACAAAACCAAAAATATCTTACAAAGAGGACAGCCCAGAAAATGGTCTCACTGTTAGAAAGTTGAAAAACTAATAGGGCAAACATGGGAAAAAAGCTGCGAATTTACCCCCCTCAAAATAATTGATGAAACAGCCCTTTTGATGTCTTCGTGTTGCATGAAATGCATTCTGGTGATGACTTTCATTTGTATGTTGTTGCAGAACTTCCATGAGGTGGCCTATTTTGCTGATGACAGACAGGACCTCCTGAACGGTATCAATGAATTCTTGGACTGCAGCATCGTCATTCCACCCTCAGATGTGGAGGGCAAAGACCTCCTGAAGACGGTGGCTGACTTCCAGAAGCAGATGCTGCGCAAGAGGAAGGAAAGAGAACTCAAGAGGCATCAGTCCTCACCTGGAATAGAGCTGAACAACAAAGGTACTCTGTCAAGAGCCTCTTTTCCAAGCCAAATCCACAATTGCTAGGCTTGCATGAGGCACCTCTGTTTCAACAAACTACTGTTTGTGCTTTAGTGCAAACACAGATCAATCCCTGGAGTCAGACTTCTTTTAAATTGTGCGCAAACTAGTCCCTACAAATCAACTGGACAAAGACATTGAGAGAAACTGTTTTGTATCTTTTAGTAGTTTCACAAATTTGATAATGCATCCCATCACCTCCGTAAACAAAACTCAAGTGATCTATTCGTAAGACTTGTAGTATTTCCAAATGATGTGTCAGTTAAAAGATCTTGAAATGAATTGATTAGTAAAAAAAAAACAGGTCAAAAATATATTTTAATTACAATTCTCTGTCATTTCCTAAAACAGCTGGCCTTTGTCGTTTTTATGAAATGTCATGCAGACAGGAGTAAATAGTTGATTTGTTGGGGACTTTTTTCGGCTGCGGATATATTCACATTTGTTGCTTTATTTGTTGAATTCTCAAGGTAGCAGGAGTGTATGCTGAATTATTGCGATGATGATCAGTATATGGGTTTCTTTATGTAATGGAGCCTGTAACAAACCCCCTAGAGGTGAGTCCAGAGGAGGAGGAGGAGGAAGACCAGGAGGTGGACCCATTAAAGCGCTCAGGGATCCCTTTTGGAGGCCTGATCCACGACATCCGCCGCCGTTACCCTCAATATGTCAGCGACTTAAAAGATGCCGTGGACATGCAGTGCTTCGCTGCCGTCATCTTCATCTATTTTGCTGCACTGTCGCCCACTATTACCTTTGGAGGCCTGCTGGGTAAACTGAAACTACCAAAAAAATAAAAAATGTGGATTCTATGTCACTTTTGTTACTTGTGCTCTAAAAGGTGTGTTTTTGGCTGTTTTCTCATACAGGAGAAAAAACACAGGGCATGATGGGAGTGACTGAGCTCATCGTGTCAACAGCAACTCTTGGAGTTATATTTTCGCTGCTTGGTGGTCAGCCTCTCCTCATCATAGGCTTCTCAGGACCCTTGCTGGTGTTTGAAGAAGCCTATTACAAGGTGCTGAAAACATCATATGTGGTTTTTTCTGTTCCATAATTCCCATTTAGTTTTCCCTGAACATGTGACTGATATGTCTGTCTTTTCACTCAGTTCTGTCAGGCCCACGATGTTGAGTACCTAACTGGTCGTGTGTGGATTGGCTTCTGGCTCATCTTCATTGTCCTGCTGATAGTGGCAGCAGAGGGCAGCTTCCTTGTTCGCTACATCTCACCTTTTACCCAGGAGATTTTTGCTTTCCTCATCTCCCTTATCTTCATCTACGAGACTTTCTCTAAGCTCTTCAAGGTAACAACCTCAGAAATCGTACAGCACAATGAGCTCCATAAGAATTTAGACAATAAAATAAACTTTGATATGCATTTTCCCCCATAACAACAACTTATTTTCTCGATGAGTCATTTATTATGCTTAATGGTTCAATACTTATTAGTTGATAGCATCTAAGAATTAAGTGGAATCCTTCACTTGTCATATCTGCAAAAAGCAAACAATCAGCAGAGGATAAACTGAGACTATCTTCTTGTTTCTAGGTGTTTAAGGAGCATCCGCTGCTGGCAATTTACCCCAGTGACTTTCACCCAGTTGCTGGGCATCATAAAGTTGATGACCCGATCTACAACCAGCCCAACACTGCTCTTCTGTCTCTGGTCCTCATGATAGGCACTTTCTTTGTTGCTTTCTTCCTCAGGAAACTCCGAAACAGTCGTTTCTTAGGTGGCAAGGTAACCTAACCCTAACAATGGATGTCAGGCTTCTCATGGGCCTTTAAAGACGCCCTGTTGTGTAAATACACAAAGTCATGTTGAATTTAGACAGCGTTTTTGTTTTACGTTAAGTACATACGACAAAGTATGCGCTGTTGCATGCAGTATGCATTCAATTGGGGCGTACTACTTTATCATAACATTGCACCTTGAAATATCGCCATGGCAGTTTGAGGAAAATGATATTAATACTTTTCAATTAAAGAACTGAAAGAATGTGTTTAACAAATGCATCCTATGTGATGAGATGTGCGCTGGATGTTGACTGGATTTAATTGATGTCGGGTTTCTCAATATCCTTAGGCCAGAAGAATCATTGGGGACTTTGGCATCCCCATCTCAATTTTATTTTCAGTGTTGGTGGATTACTCCATTACTGACACTTACACACAGGTAAATTTAATGTAAATGACTTCAGTGACAGCAACAGTTGAAGTGCATCTTTATTACAGTACCAACAAATCAGGGCTTTTTCTTTTTCTCTTACCTCTAGAAACTCAATGTGCCGTCGGGCTTCTCAGTCACCTCCCCTGACAAGAGAGGCTGGTTCATCAGTCCCTTTGGCGACAAGAAACCTTTTCCTACCTGGATGATGGGGGCATCTATTGTACCTGCCATTCTTGTCTTCATCCTCATTTTTATGGAAACTCAGATCACTTCGTACGTACAGTATGATTATCTACAGTAGTAATGTTTTGGGTGGAGAATCTGTGTTGTAAGGTATACTTTTTTTTAATCTGTTCAAATTTTCCCCCCAATCTATCAGGTTGATCGTCTCTAAGAAGGAGCGTCGCCTGGTTAAAGGCTCAGGGTTCCACCTGGATCTTCTTCTCATTGTCATTCTGGGTGCCATCTGTCCTCTTTTTGGCCTGCCATGGCTCACCGCGGCCACTGTGCGCTCCGTCACTCATGTCAACGCTCTCACCGTCATGAGCAAAGCCACGGCGCCTGGCGAAAAGCCTATGATCCAGGAGGTGAAAGAACAGAGGCTGACTGGGCTTCTTGTGGCTGTTCTTGTTGGTAAGATGAAAGGGAAAGAGTGGGAGTGTTGGATGGTAATTTGGTAGGTGATTTTCCTTTTTTCGTCAGGATTGTGTGTGTTGTTGTAATACTCATTGTGGCCACAAGAGGCTAAAGTACATGTTTACCATATTTTAACATAGATAGATAGATACTTTATTCATCCCCAGGGGGAAATTTATCAAATATTTGTTAAATTGGACTAAAAGCATGTTTTCCTCTACATAACACACAAACCTTGTGTTTAGCGTGCATGGATAAGTAGTAGTGCACTTTAGACTGTTGTGACCGACATGATTATTACAACAGCGAACATAGAAAAATGATCCTGACCAAAACAATTAAATCACCTGCCAAAAAAAATGATGTGCGCAAAACTTGTTTTTTTAAGTCAAAAACAGAGGAGAGAAAACATTGACTTTTTTCTCACTTGCCTCCCAGGGCTCCAGTAATAGTCCTCCCCCTTTATGCATTTTCTCCTGTTTGAAGTGACTAACTTTAAAGTAAAGTTCAGAGGCTACACTGTAATTCAAAACCAATTCAGCTCCATTATCATAAACTGGTGAGAATGCTAACTTTTTGCCTGGGACAAGCCAATAGTCTTTTATCACGAATGCAGACATTATCTACACACACTTAGGACTCTTTTACAGGCTTCTCATTTCTAAAGGAATTAGCTTGAAACACGAAAACATAAGCCGGAGACAGACTTTTCAACCAATTTACAGAGTTTTCAACGTGAGCAGTCGCTTACACTAGCTACAGTTGGAAAACTCTGCCTGCAACGATTGTGATTTCAGCCAAACTCCACAGTTGTTGGCCAGAAATGAGAAGCCTGCTTTTGTTTGCCCTCAGTGTGTAACAGGAGAGCCATTGTTTCAACGCTGAGAATTTAGTGAAGTAAATCACTGCCACTATAATCACTGTTAACTTCAAACATGCCACGCTATAACGAAACGCTTCAAAGGCAAAGAAGCAATAGGTGACCAACAGGGATGGGGTTTAGCAACTGGCCAATTGGCTGAATGCTCCTCTTGAGTACCATGTCAAATTCTGTATTATTATACATTTTTTAGAAACTTGTTAACTTAATCATGAAAAGCATTTCATTCCACAAAATAGTTCTCATTAAAAGTGACAATAAACAAATCGCATCCACACACAACCAAGTGCAACTGGGTGGAGCTGGAGGGATCTGAACTAACTGACCACTTGCAGAGAAATTATTTTGTTTTATAATCCGGCTGTGTTTTTTTTTTTTACCACATTATTACAATGTTGGAATTTCCAGGCAATTATTTGTCTTGAGAGAAAACACAAGGTCAAAAAGGTACAGAGTGCCACCTAGACATTCACGAAGTATGAATCAGCCGTTGCTTTAGAGAGCTTACAATGAGTTTATAATCTGTTTACAAATTGTCCTCAAAATGAAAATTGTTGGACTGTCTGACATGGCAACATTGTTTTCATCCACTGGCTGGTACTATTTTGCCAGCAGGATATCTTGTTTCAATTAAGGTAGGGTTCCCAAAGTAGTCCTAAGTATTAGTTTGATCCAGTTTGAGTATACAACAATAATGACTATCGTCATTGTTGAGCCTTTGTTTGATTGAAATACTGCTTGAGATTTGGAATAAGACTTTTTGGATTAGCCCAAAGAGAGTTTCAACCAAGACAGCTTAACAGTGAATGTGTTTCGAATCAACAGCATTGACAGCATGTTTGTCATGAGGGCTGTTCTATTGTTGAATGAATAATTCTCTCCACAGTTGCAAATGTGTGGCTCAAAAAACAGTAAGACTGCCATTTGACAAATAAACCTTTAACCCATTTCTAATCCATCAGGCATGTCCATAGTGATGACAGACGTGCTCCGCCTCATCCCTCTGGCTGTGCTCTTCGGCATCTTCCTGTACATGGGGGTCACCTCTCTGACAGGCATCCAACTGTATGAACGCATCACACTCATGGTCACGCCCGCCAAGCATCACCCTGACCACATCTACGTCACCAAGGTAGTAGCACACGCAACACGGACGTTGTCAAGCGCTCATCTTCTGTTATTAGTGGTAAGATGGAGAAGCCTAACCCAGCACAGTGGTAACTGCAGCAGAGCAGAGGCAGAAATGGTTCTGCAGTTTTGGCTTTGAGCTTGGTTTGATAGAGAGACCTGATCATTCAGAACCCTTTATACACTAAACATGAAAGGCATCCAGGTTTTTTACAGCTATAGGCCATACTTGGACTCCACTACATCCAGCAAATCTGTTATTTCTTTAACCAACAGAGAGTTACAAGCAGAGGAGGAAAATATTGCTGGATTTTTGAGTCTAAACAGAGTTACCTCAACAGTTGAGGATGAACACAGTTGGGTTTCTGGCTGCATTCATCACACTGCTGGATTTAGCGACTCCATCTGACCATCAGTAATGGAATAATACACTTGTTTTGTCCTATGCATTACTGGTGTCAGACGGTTACATTTATTTCAGTGTTTTGATCCTCATTGTATTGTTTATCGCTATATTATTTGTTTTACTGACTAACTGCTATGCAACTCTATCTCAGGGCGCAGCTGCACACATAGCAGAGAATGATCAGAAACCTAGATAAGGTTTTTACATAAGGCCCAGGGGCCCAAAGTGTCAGGGTCCTTTACCTACAAAATGTCAAATAAACTCGTACCAACCAGCAAGAACCTCAAAATTAAAACATGGCATAAAGCGACTACTATAAGACACAAAAAGACTACAAAGAGACTCAACAGGACTTCAAAGGACACAGTGATCTCAAATAGACACAAAGCAACTACAGAGAGACTCAAAATGACAACAAAGAGACACCAATCAACTATAAAGATACTCAACATGAATACAAAGGGATATAAAGCAACCACAAAGAGACTCAACATGACTACAAAGTGACACAGTGACAACAAAGCAACTACAAAGAGACACAATAATCACAAAGAGACACAAAGCAACTACAAAGAAAGTCAACATGACTACAAAGAGACACAATGATTACAAAGAGACACAAAGCAACTACAAAGAGACTCAACATGACTACAAAGAGACACAATTACCACAACTATGAGTCGTGGTGGGGCCCAGGGGCCGATTGTACGCATGCAGGTCATATTATAGGATAGGCTCACAGTTTAAAACAGCTAGGTCCCCATCTGAACATTAACACTTGCTGTAATCATTCCTCCTCTTTATAAAGGCAATTGCAAGATTCTTAATTCTCACAGGCTTCCAATGGAAGTGATGGGGACAATATCTGCACTCGCTGCTCTGTGGAAAAATGAATTCCAGTGTTTATTTGAAGATAATATAATAAATCTTCTGGTTATGAAATGCCTACTTTGTATTTTCCACAGCCAACGTTTCCTTGCTGAGCTGCGGTGGAGGGAGAGTAAATCAAAGAGTGGATTTAACAATAAAAGCACTGTAACTTTAACCATTTGTTTTTTCTATCTCCATTTGCTGCAGCCTCATATCAACCTCAGATAACCTTAAGAGTACTTATTTTACAGAGCAAGAACAATAGATTTACACACATTAGAATAAGCTATTCTTTAAGCTGAGGTGAGGGCTGGTGATGAATATACATGTATATACAGTAGGAAACACTCATGCATACATCCTACAATACCTCCACTGCAGGGTGGACAAGGCTTGAATAATAAATGGAAATATAATAACAATTTGTATTTATTAATAAACCAAACCAACACAAAAAATAACACAAACACTGCAACACCGAATTAGCTCACTCATTAAACTTAGAAGAAAATGGGAAGATGACATGAAATGACAGCCGACAGGTTCAGTAGGCACAATTAGACGAGCACAACCAACACATTGGCGTAGACATTGTAGAAGCAGAGCAGGGATTTCCAGCACAGCTTCACCTACTTCCAAGGTTGGATAAAGGAAACAGCCTGAAGAGGTAGATCTCCAGCAGCACTTGTAGTGTAGAACAACTTTATTGTTAGAACAAAGCATTTCAGTTTGTGGCTGTGATGACCCTGATGAACGTCAATGAAACGTGTGTAAAGTTGTTCTGTATACTTCAAGTGTTGCTGTTTTACCTCTTCAAGCATTCTAATACATTACAAAGGCAATCCAACAAAAGTATGACATGCGTCAAGGTACTTTAAGTATAGATACCACCAGATCTTGTTTTGAGCATTGATGCTGAATGAATGACTAGAATCAATCTCAAAGAAACATTACATTAGTAAAATCCCACGTGAACAGGAACATCTGTGTTGTGTCTGTTGCAATGAAAATATACTCAGAGGATCCTGCTAATGATGACATATGGCTCTCACCCACATAACTGTACTTTGATGTTAACAGTATTGGCATCAGAGTTATGGATTTTGGTCCGGATTTGACTCGGTGTCAGATTGGAATCAAATTTTGAAAAACAGGAAAAAGACAGGAAAAGTTTAGAGAAAGTTCAGGTTGACTTACATATATTTCAGACAAATCATTAGATGCACTAGATGGAGCCAAAAACATGTAAGATTGTCTTCATGCAAGGGCATAGTTTGGGATTCAGTGTGTTCAATGTGCCTCTATATGCGTCTACGAGTATCTCTCTGTGTACGTCTGCACTGTGTTTGCCTGCATTTGTTTTATTCCCTTTAACCACCACACGTGTGTGTTGCTTCAGGTGAAGACATGGCGTATGAACATGTTCACCATCATCCAGCTGGCGTGCATCGTGGCTCTGTGGGTAGTGAAGTCTACTGAGGCCTCCCTGGCGTTCCCCTTTGTCCTCATCATGACGGTGCCGCTTCGCCGCCTCATCCTCTCCAGGATTTTCGAGGAACGAGAGCTCCAGGCGGTAGGTTGTGTGTAGCAGAGGAACGCCCCAGGAATGTTTGAATCTTTGCCACAATAATCTGATCCCACATAGCCCCAGGATACTTATTTTACAGCAAATTGAATACATGGATGTTGGCATGTTTTTAACATCTCTTAAAGAAATCAAACAAAGAAGCTACGAATGATTTTCTCCCCTGTGATCATGGACGGCTTTTCTAATACTAATATTTTCAGATGATGTGCAAATATTTCTTTTTCAAACCACAAAAAGATTCACAGTCCAACCTGAAGCCGGGCTCCATGTTTTCTTGGTTAGATCCCCTGAACCCATACATGTCAACACTGTCAGATTAAAGCCTTCCATTTCCAAAATGTCAACTTTTTCAGGAACTAGTATAAACAGCTTTGTTCTTAACTTGACCACCATCTGTGTTGTGTTCATCCAAAGGTCTCATGAACCCAAGGCACTGTAGAATCAAACTACAGAGGACCTTGGAAATAATTAAAAACGTACCAAAATTAGACCTCTGTGATGTCAGATCCATCACCCGTCTAACCGTCACCTTTATATGAACCAGGTTGTACACACTATGATTTCTTTTTATTCTTTGGTTTGTTTTTCTCTAACAAACACGTTTCACACCTTGTTTCATCTGGTCCGGACCAGAGGAGAAAAAAAAAAAGATAAATTGTTGCCTTTTAGTTTTGGTCCGCTTCCTTTTCGCACTGACTTTTTATCGAACAAAGAGCTGTAAGCATGAAGAGCTGGAGCTTGCTTTATCAAAGGACCAGTAAGACATTTGAGAAATACTTGGGCTTTCTTGCAGAGAATCAATCTTCTCATTCAACTCTCTTAGAAAGCAAATAAGCAAATTTTACAGAATGTCTCATCATTTATTTCCCCTTGAAACAGGCCGAGATCCATAATTCACATGGTCTCAGTCCGATAGTTGAATATACAGCTCTCCGATCAGTCAAAAGTGCAACCAGAGTGTGTTTGAACAGCTTCAAAAGGGTTAGGTTTCAAAGCATCCGAAGTGGCCTGATTTTGACCTTTTGAGTGAGCCTTGAATGAAAATGATTGAAGATAATTTGTCTTTTTCACAGCTGGATTGCGACGAGGATTCTCCCAACTTCGATGAAGATGGACGAGACGAGTACAACGAGATCCACATGCTTGTATAAATTTAAAATTGGACCCTGCCAGTATGAATGCCTCCCACCCTCCAGCTCGGACCAATCGGAAGTAGCCTCTCCGGAAGCCTCACTGTCTCTGCGTAGTGGTGATAAAGCGAGAGGACCGACAGTAATGGTGTTATAGCTGGATGTTCCCTTCTTACCTTTGTTCATTCCAGTTTTTACTAAAAGAGCACACATACTGTTAGATCTCTGTGGTGGTGGTGGTGGTGGTGTTGTGTTAAACTCCCTGAAGCCTGAGCACCCTACCTGAAGTGGACAGTGCAAATCTAGCAAAGAAATGTAACTTACATGAACACTTTATCTATTTTTCTTTCCTGTCTATCCCTTTAATTACTCTGCAGGTTCTGGGCATGAGTGCAATGATGACGGTGACCTCTAGGGCTACAGCGGGCTGGATCATTTAGACTTATTTTTGTCCAGAAAGCGGGAAAAGGGGGTTGATTTGCTTTCATTTCATTTTCATCCAGGAAGCGGATTTTCATCAAAATGCATAATGATGAACTGAAACTAAATCTCAAAGCCCTAAATTCCACTGCCTGTGTAGTTTAGCTGCCTTTTCCCTTTATACTACTGCCATTGCCTATAGGTTGCAATGATGTGCAAACAAGGAGTTAAGTAGTCCTTTCCCTTTCTGTACAGACTTTTAGTAATGAGCACTTTGACTGGGCAAAAGTTCACTTTTGTCGCTGCCAACTGAGCTCCCTGGCACGAAGCCTCCTCTCTAAATGTACTCTCCCCTTGAAGCCAAAGTCTCCACAGAGACTGTGCAAGTCTCTTCGAGGGGTGTTTCTGTACTTTGCTAGGTGTTTAATGCCCAACCTACCAGTCCACTGACCCCGTTATTGTGACCTTGGATGTATAAGTAAATGGCTAACATGGTCTCAACCTTATTTTTCTACTCTGTTGTATCTATTTATTTTGTGACCTTTGGACTTGATGCCATGCCAGATTCTCAGTGATGTTTAGACTCCCAATAGCTCAGATTGCTATAAGAGTTACTATGAAATTAAAAAGAAGAACATTGTGTTGGTGGACACATTCAGCCATTCTTCTTTCATCTTCTCCGCAATATTTCCACGTCGTGGTGCATTTTTATTTCAGGGATGTCATGAATAACATAGTAACACATTTGGCTGGAAAAGCATAAGCACTAAGCAAACACACAAGCGCTGAAAACGCTGGGGAACAGTTGAGTGTTGGCAGGACGTATGAATGATGCATTGTACAGTAAGACTGTGAGCTTGGAATTACAATGTACCGTCTGTGTTCAGAGTTCTTTTGAAATACCAAGAGATTTAGTTTTCACCTCCGATATCGCGAGCCCACTATAGAATTGAAATGTAATCGTCCAGTCATGACACGTAATCAGAGACCTTACTTCTCCCACACAGAAACACCAGTTGTAAATAAAATTATTTTTCATAAGAGACTTTAACAAGTCGAGCACAGATTTGTGTGACGCTCTTATTTATAAAGGAGAGGAAGAAATTGATGTGATTTTGGCTTATAATGCCAATGAGTTAGACTCCATTCTCACTAGCTTTCCAGTCTAAATACTACATTTCGGAGCATTTTATGTATGTTGTAGTTGATGGGAAGTAGTAGAAGGTTTCTGCATACTGTCACTATTCCCAAGTTTAATATTTTGTCTATAAAACATGACGTTTTAAAATAGTATCCTTCTAGCTTCTATCCTTGCACCTTGCATATGTCTGTGTGTTCACTTCTACACTGTATCAGCTTCAATGGGTAAAGACATTGAAGGTGGAATCAGCTCACTGGGTGTCAGCTGAAGAGGTTTCCATAAATAACTATGAAATATGGCAAAATAGAAAACAAAAACATGTTTTCTTGTTTTTACCTGATAATAATGATTACTTCTGCAGGTATACAAACAACTACTAAAAACTCCAAAGTGCTTAAAAGTGAAGCAAAATGTCATTCTGAGAGTACCTATATTAAAAAAAAAGATTTCAGGGTCAGCAGTGTAGTATAGATTTGGTATGCTAACCAGATTAGTATATCTTCATTTCATTCAACCATGTCCTACATTATGAGCCATGCAAGAATTCTGTCTCAGGGGAAACTGACCTTCGATCTGTAAATATTGCGTCCAAGCCTTTAGTTTGTTGTCTCTTGTGTGTACATAAATCCAACACTTGCGATGTAAAAATATAGAGCTTACGGTCCAGACGTTTGTGTTATACAATGGAGAAAATGAATATAAGTGAAGGGAATAATGTGTTTACTCCAGCAATGTGACATGGAATTATGCTGTAAATGAATCCTCCATTGTTGTCTTTAGGCAAACACTTGAAGCTACACTTTGATGTGAAGCGTACGTCTGCTGTAGTCTGTATTTAATTCTGCAGCTCCCCAAGTTAATGAGTGACAGAATGTGTTTTAGGACTCTGATAGGAGTGTCTTTTAAAATAGGCTTAATGGACCTTTTCAACCATGTGCTTTTGTTTCAGGGTTTACAAAGACTAAAAGGGCAAACTGAGAGCAAATAAACTGATATGTTATCTCCATCATACTCCGTTATACGTGGCCCCGCTGTGTTCATGACGTTATTGAATGTAAATGTTTGGCTGCCTGTATTTTCAGTTAGCCAGAATGCTTTTCCGGCTATTCTGACCCCGAATCTTCAGCGCAGTGGAGAGCAAGAGGGTCAAAGTTCAAGTTGGAATATTAAGACAAAGTTGTATGTCTCAATTAAAAGCATTCTGCATGCAACAATACATATATCTGCAGAAGGTACTCAAATGAAAAAGTACTGTATGTGATTTGGAAGGCATTGTGTGTGTCCTGCTACAAAGCTAGTTTGAAACATCTTTCCCGATCGCTACATTTCAATGCACGTTACCACCACCCTCTGTTGATCAGTGTAATAACGTGAAACAGTCGGCAGGTGTCACTTCACACTCACGAAAGGCAAACGGAAAGGGGCACATACTTAAAAGCATTGCTCCATAGCGCTACTAGTGGTGAAAACCTCCACATGGTTCCTTTAAATCCACTTATTTTAAATGTCTATTACCAATACAGCGTATATTTTGTTTCCTGGTTGTGTGTTTTATTACAATCTCACAAGGTGCAATGCTGTGTTAATATAATATGCCCCGATTGAATGCATACTGCATGCAACAGGACAAATTATGTGAAGGCAGATGCGCTATATACGAAAAGTAAAAAGAAAAAGTATGGGATTTGGAACGCAGTGTAAATGTGACCCTTAATTGATGAACTGTAACTACAATTTCAAATTCCTCGAACAAAATGCAGAGGACATGAACTCTTGTGCATAGTAGCTGCAGCCCCGTTAGCTGGCAGTAAGGCTTCCTCTTCACTCCATCTTAGAAGTCATGCTCTGTGTTTTAGCTCTTTATATTCCTTTGATGTTAACTCCAGCTGAAAGCAGAACAGGCCAATGTAGTCGACCTGGAGTATCATCTGGTAAGAAGATTTTATTTGTGACCTTAATAGCTGGATGTGTCTATGTCTTGTTGAAGACTGTTGGCCAACATTTATTGGCGAGCAGTTTGACATTCTCAAGACCTCAGGCTGCTGAATTAGCTTGAGAAAAGCGAGAGACCATTTTTAAACGGGGTCTTACACAAAACGTGTTTCAGGCCGATGAATCTGTCCATGTTGACTATCAGCTTTATTGAAACGTTGACTCATTTTGTGCTCGATTAATAGTTTTGTTATTGATTGACTTCCATACATAACCAGCACATGGCGAGTATTCACACTTAAGTGCAACGCTATGGAAAACAAATATTAGATGGACACCATACGATTAAGATCTGACTATGACTTTTAGTTGGTATCTGCCATCTGAGTCCAGTGGAGCTATGTTATTTGGTGAGCTGGTTGACCCACAGTGGTAAAAGATTCACAAGGGTCGTTGTCCTTTGTTGTCTGACGATACAAGACTAGGCTGCTCCAAACAGCCACGTGCTCTTGTTATGGCAGGAACTGGTGTGTCTGAGTATGTGTGGAGCTGCGTAGGCCATAGCCGAGAGACAGCCAGTGAGCGTATATACTTAGCAAAACATCCTCTCAGTGTTTACACAAGAGGAAAAAGTGGAATTGTGGGTATTATTAAAGATAATAAAAGGCGTGGTGCTGCCACTCTGTCCCGCCTGGGCGCTAGATGTTGAAACACGCAAGATGAAAAGAAAAACAGTTTTTTTTTTTTTTTTTTGACCCTCAAAAAGTTCTGCCATGTCAATGTTCTGAGTTCACCACATTTAGTCGCCTTATACCACCATGGTAGCAGGGCAGACCACCCACCCAAATCTAAGACCTGGCTCTGTTATTTTTGAACCTCTTCTTAATTCAACATCTTTGGTTTGAGTAAAGACGTCTGGCGATCTTGGAGTTCTAGCATATGGAATAGTGTGTTAGGTCCAACCATTATTTAGCTATAAATCCAATGTGTGTGCAACTAGATCCACTATTATAAGGAAGGTTGTTCACAGTGATATACGAGCACAGAATTATAGTTGATACTAGTGTCTTTTGGATACTGCAGGAATGCTATTCATGTTTCTTTAATTGCACTGCATACCAAAGGATTAGTTCCTTACCAGGATTAGTTTCCTAATTTCGGTCTTCATTATATTTTGTTGATCTCATGGGTTATAAATGAAATACTAATCCTTTGTGTGTACTCTTTTTTTTTTTTTTTTTTTTTAAAATTCAGTGAAATGCTATCTTTAGCATTAGAAGGTTTTGTTATGGTGTTGTGACAGGTTTGTTCATTCAGGAACACGTACGATTTTTACAACCAATTAAAGCCATGATTTCCATTAAAGCTGCATTAAGCAATTAAGCAAAGGAAATGACTTTACAACAAGCGTACAGTAACTTCCAGCAGAAACAAAGTAACATGGTCATTCCATTGGATTGTTATATGCAGAACTATTCAATGCTTTCTTGTTTACTTCATGTTTGTGCGGACAGAGTGCACTCTGAGCTTCGGATTGGTTTGGATTCTCAGTGAGACGGGCACTACTAGCATTGATTTCACGTTCGCAGAAAGTTCCTGAGAGTTAACATTGAAAACATTGCTTAATGGAGTTTTGCGTTGTTTTGATGACACACAGCTCTACACAACAACCTCTTGATGTATACTCATATGATGACAAAATTGTAAAATGCAGTATGTCTGCATTTGTAACACAGACTGACACTTGGTTTGTGGGGGCTGCTTGAATAGCAGGTCCTTGTGGCTGTAAAGAGATTTTCAATCAACTGTAAAACATTATTTTTTTGTCTGGAATAAATATTTATTATGTGTTTCAAATACAAAAAGGTCAGCTTTTTTTTGGTCAGCTTTAAAAAAATGACAATACAATATAGATTATTCAAGTATGAAGTTGGTGTCAAACAGTACAGTCGATCATTAAGGTTTTATTTTCCTCGACTAGGTGCCAGATGGGTGGAGTTCACCATATATGACAGAATAATGAGTTCCAGAGAGTTCAGACATTCACAGCTAAGTATTTAGACAGTCAAGTATGAAGTTCTACCTAGAATATATACTTAAAGGCACAGTGTGTATGACTAAGGGTGAGCTATTAGCAGAAATAGAAGTATCTATAACGTATACATGTTTTTATGAATGTATAATCACCTGAAACCATACGAATGACATACACAGCCATTGAGAGATATAGAACATGTGAAATCGGAGGTAAAGATAACGCTTCAACATTAAATGGTTTGACAGTAATAAATATTAGTCCTGGGGTGCACATTTCATATCATGCAGAACTTTTTTTCAGGATTAAAATGAGAAGAACACAATGAATATATGATATATAATACTGCATATATATGTGGATGCTTTGATAAGAATATTCCGAATTTAAAATACTTTTTAGTTGTTACTTTTAACAGATTGTAAAAGTGGAGTGGTATGTATTGGTCTGTGTTTGTAGCTATTACTTGAAGGGAAAATGCAGTACTTTCATAATTGTGGGTCATGCCAACTTTGCACTCACAAAGATTCCATGATAGATTAAATTGGGAACAGCTTGAGCCTTTAGTTCTTCATGAATCATCATTTCAACGCTTTTCCATGAGTCCGACTAGCAAATAGCCCTATTGATCGGCTAATGTCTCCAACTAACTTGTGTTAGCACATGTTGTAAACCATGGTTTGTTTTGTCTTAGTCCACATTTCCCGGTATCTCTCCACCACAGGTGGTGAGCGCAAAGTTATATCACATTCTCACTTCCAACTCGTCCCAAGCGGAGGTTTGATCACAGCATCTTTGGCGTCATTTTTCATTGAGCAGGGTAGTAGATAGACTTCCATACATGGTAAATGTTAATTCAAATAAAACTACTTTGTTAGGTTTATGAAAAGATCATGGTTTAAAATGTTTAAAATAAGTTAGGTAAAAAATACCTTTTTAAATATTTTAGATGACATCGGCGGTCATTTTGTGCACCTTTTTAACAATATGTAAAGACAAATTATTTTCATATCAAAATACAATCATCTTTCCTCCTGTAAAACAAAATATGAAGTGTGCTCACGTAAGGTAGGCCTAGTACCAACCAGTTTCCACAAATAATATGACATCCATCCATCCAATCGCTATTGATACTACGTCACCTGACTTCCTCTGTAACTCCTGTCATAATTACTACAGCCACTAGAGGCAACCCTGCACAACAAAACTGACGTGGACCAATCTGCCGTACAAGTGTGGGAGTGAGAACGCGGTGAAAGTTATCATGACCCACTGTCAGAGTGGCCACAATTATGAGAATAAGTTCCATGCTGAAAAATACTGCTAGCTTCTTTGTCAGTTCAGCACATCAGAGCCCAAAGGTGCTGGCCTTATCCTAAGTGTTCCAGGTAGTGAGATTAACACAGAGAATTGGTAGGAAGAGTGTGATAATGATAACAGGCGCTATCAACATAATGAGAGTGGTGAGCGGTGGGTCTTGGACCTGCCCACAGAGTCTAAAGTACATCTTATGAATCTCCAAGAAGACCGTGTCTTTCAGAAATCCATGACCCTTACAACAAGACTCTTTTGCCCAGTGGTCCACGCACATATTCAGTGTGTTGTAGATGCTGCAAAGGAGGAGAGCAAGGCAGATCACAAAGTTAAGATGGCTCTAAATGCTTCCAGAATTGATATTAGTCATTAGTTAATAAAGCAATCAAAGCATCTCACAATAATAGACACTATTGTGCAACAGTGAGATGAAATGGGACAAAAATCCAGTCACTGCATGTTCGTGTTGCAAAACTAAACTGTAACATCTTTCAAGCCTGTATTGACTTTCATTTCACATTGAAATTAATAGAACACAATGTCTTCAAGGTAGAAAACCATTTGAAACCAGTTCCAGCAGTGCTGAAGTGAGTGCTGTGGCACCCCAGTGTTTGGAAAGCGGTCGCTAACGTGATTTGAAGTTGATCGGATGGCGCGGCCCTTTAAAGCTGTGACTTTAATATTCAAAGTCAATATCTTAAGATGACGCGAAGTGAGCCAAAAACATCTAGCTTTGGCAACTCCAGAAGTTTCAATAAATGGAGAAATCGCCCACTGGTGTTGAGGAGGGCAGCTTACATTTCACTGTAAAGTTTTGACGTGTCATGTCCTCCGGGCGGAGAAGCGTCCACTGCGTCAGTAAAGCAACATAAATTGTGGGAGCGGTTGTCACTGCACAATTTTTAGTGTGGAAAACATCAAGATTCAATCGAGCCTGACAGCTGGAGGCCTTATCAACAAGCTGGGCTCCTTGTGATGATGGACACCCCACCCTAACGCACCATTTGAGCTGTATGGGAGCTTAGACTCAAACCATGTTAACAGTAAAATATGGAATATTACAGCCATAATTAAAGTCTACTGCAGTCTGTTGTAGGTATCATGGCAAGAACGAAAGTCTCCACAAACAACTGCTGTCTGGAAATATGAGCCTAGGAGTCCAGCACTTATTAATATTAAAAGTTGAGTAATTAGATGAAACTTTGACCAGCACATAACGTAGCCAGGAAACAGGAAAGTATCTGACTTTCCCCATGACTAACGGTCATAGATCTTCACTGAAAAGGCCATAAAACATGTGTAATGTGCCACTTTATCCAGCCCTCAGTTTTCACTCACTGGGCTCCACAATGTTGAGCTCGGGGATGGCTTCCTGCAGTACGTGCATACCAAGGCTCAGCACAGACTAATAGATGGTGCAGCTCATATTCGTTATGACGTGCATATTCTTGATCATACACAATTTATCATTTCAGAAGGCATGTCCTGACCAAGTTTTTATTCCAAATCCTGATCAGAGTTTTTTAATAGTGGGTATCTCCGATACCAAGTCTAATCTGATACTTATGTTTACTTAAATGTTGATTTAATATAGAAATAATAGCTGTAGTTCACTTAATCTGGCACCTTACTTTTACTTGATCCAAATAATATTACATTTGTAATCTGGGATATGGATGAAAGATTAACTTGGAGAATGTGACTGTGAAAGAACCTGACATTTGTTAAATGATAACAAAAAGAGACTGTAAATAAAATGTACCGTTTTTCAGTAGGCCATGGGCAACTGTCCTGATAGCCACTTGTCTCCATGCTCTTGTTGAAGTGTGACAGGCAGTCGTCAACTCGGCTGTCAAACATGTGCTGGTCACATGCCATTCCTGGAGAAAACGGACACTTACATGAGTGAGAATGACGGTCCGAATGCTCCATACGGCTCGAGACCAACGGCTAACATCATAGACACGGTGTATGAATGTGGTGTCAACATGTATTAGTGAAGATCTTGTCAACACTGAAATAGCTGGAAAATGTCTTTAAAGCAACATACCTACGTATCAGAGCCCAGTTACTCTGAGTTACTCTCATGAGCTGCAGCTGATTGAACCTTCGTTCTGTGCCCTCCTGCTCGCTGTGTCAGACTATTGAATGAGCACACGGCTTGTTGATTTGAAAATACTTTGTCAGCTTTTTTTTGTTGTTGTTGTTTGTGAATTCACTATATGTATCTGTTTTTCTAACTTTTATTATTGCTGCAAGTCCGCTGCATGGTAAACTCAACTCTCTCTTTTGGGGGTTTTCCATTAGCAAAGTTAGGAGCTGGTATCTGGTACTTGTTTTGGTACCACCTCAGTCAAAGGTTCCAGGAGAGCTTAGCCGATACTAACGGTGTATAACACTGTCATATCCTGCACAAACCCAGAACGGGAAAATGAAATAGAGAGAAAAGTACTGGTACCAAAAAGGGAGTTGAGTAGAGGATCGGTGTTGCCAACTCTATTCCATTGAAAGTAGCTGCAAAAGTCGCTAAAAGTAGCCAGACGACTAGATATGCTCGTTGGCATATTGGTGGCGTCAATGTGCAACGTTCGCTTCAATGAGAGCACTCTGAGCATCATGGATGGGAGTAAATTATTTTCCCGGTCGCTAAATTTCTCTCTCAATTTGTTGCTAGTTGCTTTTATAGAAATACTTAACAATATTATTGCTTTTCAGCCAATGATAATGATAAATTGAACTTGATTATTGATGATTTCTCTTTTTGGTATAATGACTGACCTGCTGCTAGCAAGCTAAGTACCTAGGTATATTGGAATTCTAGCTTACCTGTCCGGATGAAGATAAGTGCCAACAAGTAAGTAGACAACACCATCTATTAAAACAGAAAGAATCGTGGCATTCACATAAATTGTGTGATTAAGGACCATGAGGTGATCAACCTTTTTACACGCATACAACGAACAATGAACAGAAGATGACAAGATCAAAACTTCATTTTTACAATGTTTTCTGACTCAGTTCGTGATATCTGTAATTTCCAGGAGCACAGGCACACTTTCTCCAGCTGGAAAATCGACTTCCTCCCCCACTTGAGTGATAAGAAAGTGCTTCGTTAAACGCATGACCAAAGAACAATACATGACCTCTATCGCAACAATTCCTTCATGAACATGTCACATTTTAAATAAAATAATATACCCTTACTTTGATAAAGCTCTGTTACTTCCCACACAGGATTTTGTTTAAAAGTCCAGCCACAACAAAGAAAACCCATTAACATTAACAATAAGCCCTGTATGAAACAGACATGGTGGCCATCTGCTTCCTGGACATTCCCACAAATTAATGAATTTATCCCGTGGGAGGCAGACACTGAAAACAGATGTTACCAGGGAATGCAGTGAGAGGAAGATTTTTTTGAATAAACCCACATGTGATGTCTGTGCTTGTGTGGAGCAAATGCACTGTAAATGCTGTGAATTCTCAAATTGTCATGTTGATTACAGGTCCTTAAGGAAAAATAAAGATTGATAAAAATTGACTAATTATATGTATTTACTCTCTTTTATATTATTTACCTTAATAACACGAAAACATCAGTGATTGTATCGATTATATAAGCAAATCTCAAAAGCCCAAATTGATCAGCAAAGAGAAAATGCTCTGTAAGCACATACCCCAGCTTTTACGTTGCTGTCTGAAGCAAAAATAATTCCCTGGCGGATTCCCGGTAAATAGGTTTGATTAGAACCTGTGCTGATGATGCTTCAAATGGTTTACCAGCCAGCTAACAGACGCACAACTGGTCACAAAAACCCTTTGTGTCATCTGGTCCAGTTTTCTTATCTCTGAAACTCGGAGCTAATTGGATTGCGCAACAGCAATGCAGAGCCTGCTTCCTTTCCCAGACTGAGCCGGCTGTTCCCATGCTACCCAAAGACACGTTCCATATAAAGCCTCCCCAGAGACACTTGAACTAAGAGGCCTCACTGTCAACAAGCCCGGATGGTAGCATCTCTCAGAGACATTTAATGTCAATGTTTATGTTTTGAGGTCAGTCTTATTCCTATACGAGATGAGATGGGTGGGAGTCAGAGATCAGGGGGGGTGGACTATATTCTGCTAATCCAGCATGCACTGAGCAAAATGTTTGGGAATACCTTGAACAGGTTAGCCAGGCTGTTATTGCAGGGCTCACAAACGGACACAGTCAAACGTTCACAACCTGAGGAAAGCTGACAGTTTCCATTTCACATGAGCCTCATGTCAGTCGATTGTGAGAGGCAGCCAGAGCTCTCGGAATGTTCCCATCCATGCTCAGCACTTTCACTACTGGCTAAAGATGCACATATTCAGAAGCGAACATCACTTCCTGGACACCTGGCTTAACCTTCCAGCTCACACGAATCCTGACCTTAATTAAGTTAGAAACCGTTCAACCATGTAGAATGCAGCTGAAACCAAAATGGGAACAAACCCTTTTTTTTTTGTTATCCTCCATATCTTTCTGGAGTTCAGATAATCATAAAACACACATACTGTAAATACAAACACCTTGATTCTTTAGCTTTTGTCAGTTATAACTGGAATGATTTTGCTTGAACTTGTAGACTGTCAGTGAGAATTTCCACTGGTGTCCTGCAGGGTGTTAAGGGTGCTAAAAACGTCTAAAAGGAGCAGCGTTACATAATACTGTATATTATCAATACGTATGATTTCTATCGTGTGTAATAACCTGCAATTAAGAATAGTCGTGTTTTCAATACCTGAGAATGAGATGTTTAAATCTACATACGGAGCGGGTCCTCTTCACCATGCTGGCCGCGGAAAAACACATTAGCATTTTCACGCGTAGGCCACCGTAGTTCTCGTACACGCTTGGCACACAAGAGCAGTTTCAGTTGGTTGTAATCAGCAACCTCACCGCTAAATGCCGCCAAATCCTACACACCGCACCTTTGTAAAGGCAGAATGAGGAGAATCTTTCTAAAGAAGCAATGTATAGACTCCTACAAAAATAATCCCTCATCACTTGTGACCCTATAGAAGTGTGTGGGGGTGTCTGTATCTGCAGAGAATCTGCTCTCTGCATGCAATATCTTATTTTGATGTGTTCGGGACTTCACCCTATAAAAATGTTGCAAACATGCAGCAGATCATAAGCAATCATCCATAAAAATCGCAGACACAGCGTTAAAAAAACACAGATATGGCGAGGCGAGCAGACAACGCTCGTTCCAAAACCAGTCTGGCCACTGGCGAGCACCGCAACCATAGTCAGGGGGCGTGTCCTTCTGCTGTCATTGGCCAACTTTGACAGAGGACACTGGTTCACATTCAGTTCTAGCTCTTCATGTACAGACACTGTTTGATAGAAATAAGGCCGGACACTGTTCTGGCTGCGGGGCTCTTTGGTGTCCTCTGAAGTAATTACATGATTATCTGCTTCCACAGATCTGCAACTGAGCCTGCTTCCCCAAGCAACCAAATACTGCAAATAGTTTTTTTTTCTTTTTTTACTTACATAACGGTGATTTAAATATGTGTCATCAAATATATTACAAAGAACATGTGTTCCCCTGTGTGGGGAATATTGATGAATACCACTTTTGTTGAGTTTTATACGTTAACAAAAAACAACAAGCAAGAGAAACCCCTTCTTGTACTTATGCTGATACTTTATTGAAAATCATTCCGAGACCTTTTTTTCATAATCCTACAACCTCATTAATCTCTTGTTTAGGGCTTGGGTGTCAGAGGCCTCCCAAATATAAGCCTCCTTTTCACTCCTCTCCTTTGAATTTCATTCATGACTGAGGAAAATGACTGACTGTGGAAAATGTGACCACCTTTCTTTGGTATAGCATTTGTCTAGACTAAATGAATCTTTGAAAGATGGATCATTCAGGAGCCCAGTTAAAATATCTCAGCACTATCAGGTCATTCCGCTTAAGTGCAAAATTAAACGTTTCAACATTGTTCAGCTATTGCCCACCCATTTGGAGTTGCTAAGCAATGGGTAAACACAATACAATCATTATGCATTTGTGAGCGGAGAAATGCTGAGGAGTGGTCATAGGAAAATATTTCCATTTGCCTAAATTGAAGGCATAACGGTGTAAGTGACAGAGCAAACAGATTACACGGCAGATAGACACTGTTTTGTGAATGCTCTGTGCCTGTAAAAGGAAATGGAAGTGCTGTTTGCACAGCGTCTCTCATTCAAAGTCATGGAAAATATTTTGTCAGGTAGGAACAGGAGCAGAACAAAGAGGCCATGTACTGGAAACTTTTTATTTGCCTCAGAAAGTTGGGGGGAAACATAAATCCTTGATTTGGTCTGCAAAAACTATACTTAAAGTCCGAATGAGGAGGATATTATGAAAAAAAAACAACCTTTCTCACTAATGACTTACAACCCACTAGAGGTGTCTAACTCTGAAGAGACCCTGCCTGTATTTTCTTATTTTGCTGTTGGGACATTTTTGGGCATCAACCTTTATAAAAATGTGGCGACAAGGTGCCAGATTGTAAGCATGATACCAAGAGGAAGAAAATGGCTGACACAGCGAAAAGGCAAGCAGCAAAGGTCATTACAAAATGACCACGGTCAGGGGGGCGTGTGTTTTAGGTGTCGTTGAGTCGGGGCTCTGATGACAACTTTGAATGCTGTGTTCACAAACTGCAACGCAGTTGATTATTAGGTGGTACAGATAGAAGGAGAAATGCATTGAAAAATGCATTGTTGAAAAACATTTTCCTATTTAGCAATTAAGATGCAGTTTAATGGCACAAAAATAGACGAATCCACAAATATGTGACTTTGATTCAGCCCTTGCAATAATTCATGGTCTTGTCTAGTTGGTATCACACAATTTGCGAAACTCTCACAAGATGATTAACTTTCACTTGACCTCGAATGGTTAAGGTTAAATATATTGACTTGTTTTGGTCACCCTCTTAAACGATACCTCTCTCGCTACTTTCAAATATGGTGGCCTACTGATAACCCAGTAAAGTAACATTTTCACACCATTAAAAAGAAAGTAAGTTAAACATTGAAGCATCTAATGAAGAAAATACATTACCAGCCTTATAGGGGGTTGAGAATGTCTTGTGAAATGCCAGTTGTGTACTGGGACAAGTGTATTTCATCACCCTTCCGCCTTCAAACGTGGGTGGGGAGGAGATTGTAAGTGTCCTAAAATGTCAGTAGGTTGGAATTTCATATGTCAGGAACTGACATTTGTTTTCTTTTTTCCCCCATTGGTCCTATAGCAAACCTTTTTTTTCCATCCCAGAATTATTATGTAAGTGTCAGAATCAAGCAAATAGGATATATGACCCTGAGATTACTCCATACTCCCAGACCAGCTAAATTGAAGCGTGTAACACTGTGAGCTACAATGACATCATACCGGAGCTGCAGTGCAAGGCCGGAAATCTCAGCGTCCATCCTGGGGTCGGACAAAGATGAGGAAATATCTTCCTTGTGTAATGATAAATTGCACAGCTATATATATAATTTATGTTATTGGTTAATTTAATGAAGCATTACAAAAAACATAATAGTATGGAGTTTTTTTAATTTGAGACCTGGCTTTAAGTCATGTGACTGAATCTATAGCTATGCTGACCAAAGTTTAAAAAAAAACCAGAATGTCTATTTGCACACAGGTGAGAATAGTCACACGACAGCTATTCGGATATTTATACCTGACCAAGTGGAAAATGCTACTTGACTTAGCAATAGTTAGCTAGTCGCAAGCTAATTATTAACTATTCCAAATGTTGCTTTAATGCAGAAACCTACCAAACTAACCAAAATCAGTCCACTTTGAAGTAATGGGCCCTCTTGTTCCTGATTTACAGTAAGGTAGTAATATGGGAGCAGATAGGACCCTGTGAGTGGCATCACAATGTTTACGCACACACAGTTGACTTTCAGGCTACTGAGCTTGATACTTTTAACTTCCAAGGGTCATTCTGACTTTCAGTAGTCACTAATAAACCTAAAAAGCGTCAGAATGGTCATATATTTGACTTACAGGTTGCTGTTTGCATACCTTGCATTACCTGGAATCTTACTTGGGGATTTAGCTTTCCGATGCCCAAGTTGTACTGCGGAGCGTCTGGCTGCGTGTCAAATAGTCACGGCAGCATGTCCAGAAATAGTGAGGGAGCCGGGCTGTGGCTGCTGTCCACTGTGTGCCAGGCTGGAAGGGGAGCTTTGTGGGGTCTATACACCGAGGTGCTTAGGGGGCCTGAGGTGCTACCCCAGCACAGAGTCTGAATTACCTTTGCAACAGCTCATCCACGGTTTAGGACGATGTGGACAACAAGTGGACTTGGATGTCACAACAAGTCTGGACCAGCAGGATACAAATGGTAAGTTCTTTTAAGAAAAAATGCTGAAAGGGGGAAGTTAAAGTTAAAGCTGGACTACAACAAAAAACTTTAACAATGGAGCAAATGACGAAAGTGTAAAGGGTCACTCAGTGATGAACTCACATCAAATTTTCTCCAGACTCTACAGCTCCTCTTATGCTGTGGTCACATCAAATGTGGCGCAAATTATTCGCGTGAGTAGATTACATACAAAGTCTATGCACAGACGCAAAGAGACTGGAGTGACACGAATGGCACGGCGCGAATGACGCAAATTTGCGTCAATCGCACCATTCTATACAACGTGATTGGTTGATGCGGTGCGAAAGCTAAGAAAAAGATCTTGTTTTGAAAAAAATACATTGATTTTTGGCTGCGTAATATTCTTTTGTGAAAGTACTTGTCACAAAAACTATAGTGATGTGCTTAAGAAGTAAACATGTAGTAAACCAAGATATTTCCTGACAATAACCGTGATATCAAAATCTCATTTGGTGACATCCCTACAAGTAAAAGTCCTGCATTCAAAATATTACTCAAGTAAAAGTACAAAAGTATGTAAAAGCCTCAATACTTAAAGTGGGCCACCAAAAGACAAAGTACTCCTTATGCAGAATCGTCCATTTCAGAAGAATATAAACTAGGCCTAGTATCAGATTATAATTATCAATGCATTTATTTGCTAATCACGTTATTGCTGAGCTGGTAAAGGTGGAGCTCATTCTAATTACTTGATATACTGCCGAGTTGTTTCATTTATATGATTAGTACATTTTTTTAATCACTCTTCCCAGAAACATCTTATGTTCCAGTCAAGGTCATTCAACTACATAATTGTGGTTTTTCAAAGTATATTTCACCCTAATTGGAAATGCCATGCAGACATTAAACAAAAGATTTAAGATGTAGAGATCTGAAATCCACACACCAGTAGGAAATGACTAGCAGGTTATATAAGTAAGAACAAAAACATTTCCTTGACAGAACAGGAGACATTGCTGCTGCTTTCAATCAGCTTGAGATGCTCAGATCCTTTGATGAAAGGATGAACAGAAAAAGGTTACTAAAAAAGAACTAACATCCTGATGTTTTCTTTGGGAGAAGCACAGTTGATGGCTTCTCAGAAATGAAACCCTTGTTTATGGCAAATGCTACTTTCATTAGGGGCGTTAATTTATGGATCATGAAACTGTAATTCTATAACAGTGCAGCCATACTTTCAAGTGATTTAGTACTGTATATGTGTTGGGTCTGTATGATCTTTCTTTGGAGATTGATTGACTTGTCCGCTGCCAAGTTCATGCTGTAATTTTATTACAAAGCCCTCCAGTATTCACCAAGGAGTGTGGCATAATCATTAATATTCTGTATGTGTGCCAGCATCACCAAGCCAGCTAGTTTTGACCTGCCATCATACCTGGGAAAAATGTTGAAACATTTCCTTTAAAGTAACACTGAGCAGCTGTACACTGACTAAAAAACAGAACAAAATAACAGAAGAAAACTTCTACATCAAACGTAATTGGTCATGACGACTGCCCAAAGTACATAAGTCTGAAATCCTGCAGCGACACAGAACCGTCAAGCTTCGCTCTCCCCACATTACAGTTATTAGACTCAAAGGGTCACGATTGATTCCTGAAGACGAACGTTGACATATGTGATATGTTTGGCAGGCAGTGGCAGGCCCACATCTGTGAGCGCAAACAAGCAGTATCCCACCGGTGAACCCATAACGTGTCTGTAACCCATGCATCCTCATTGCTCTCCTATTGGGAGTGCCGTATTCTGATAGGATGTTGTTTATGGTACTTGAGGGAAGCGATTTCATACACATTTAAAAATGCACCACGCTCATTCTGATTGCATTTAGGAAGTTGTAACACGCTGTAAATGTGGATGAGACACTGCACACATGCCCTTTCGGAATGGTGTTGGGAAAGTTGCAGATGTCCATGGTAACAGGTGCAACCTAATTTCTATATATTTTTTCTATATTATCATCTTGGGTAATCTCACTGAGGAATGTATTTGATGAGTTCTCAGACTTTCACACAAGGATAAACTCAACAGAGGCGATCTATATTTGTTTGCAGGACTCTTCAGTTGTTTTTTTAAGATTCTTTGAGGTTTTGTTGGTAGAGGGTAGTGAAAACAAGCGCGGGCCCTGTAACTTTACCTAAGCGTGATGGACTTGTCTGCTCTCTGCTGTGATTTATCGTCTTTGGTGTTCAAACCAGTCAGAACACATAAAGGAAAAGCTGAGAATGAGCATCAGATCAGGCTGCGGTTTGCCCTCGCTTCACTGTGTTATGCTTGGCCTTTCAAGCATGAGCAACTGCAGGTTATCGGATGTCAACATCTGTCTCCTTTGTCCCCATTAAAATGCACGTTTTTGGGGTCGTTTCCTGTAGTTCTTTGGAATTACATTCTCACTCCTAAACAACCACTACTGCTCTTCACTTGAAAGAGCCTTGCATTTTTATGGAGTTGGTTGTGGTTATTTGGTGTGATCCTGATTTGAAATGGCTTCATTCTTGCCTGCCTGAACTAAACTGAATTACACAGCGTGACGGCCTGAGTAAACAGTCCAGAGTTCAAATCAACCACTCCAGCTTTGCCTGGTGTGGGCACATTTCACATCCCCTCACAATTTGGACATCATTTAGTTCATCATCATTACTTTTGAACACTTGAACAATATTTGCAATGGGGGTCGACTTCTAAGCGTTGTCTCAGTCATCGGCCTCAAAGGTTTCAGGCCAGTAATGAATGTGTGCATGAATGAAAATAGTGTTCCTGTGTTTTGAACCTGGACAAAGATAATTTATTCACTGGTCAGGGAGTCCATGGCAAGGGTGGAGCATCTATTGGGGACAAGGATGCATCACTATAGAACAATATTTGTATTAGCCAACAATACGTCAACAGACATTGTGTTGCAGGGGAAGGTCAGTTGAGTAATGTGTACTCTTTGTTCAGCACAACTCTGTGTTCACTGACTTGAAAAGCTGAGACCAAATACTTCTATTCCACAACAAGTCCACCACTAGCAGAAGTTTGGACGTTTGGAGTTGCTTAGTTTTGGAGTTATTGGCGATAGAGATGTCCAACTTCTCTCCAGTATAATGGGACTAAATGGCACATGGCATTGTGGTGCTCAGAGCAGCAAAAAAAAGTGTTTTCAACCCTGTTTTTAACCTCTTAACTTTAGTCATACCTCAGTCGCCATGTTTAGATATTGTAGGAGGCAAGACTTTTTTAAACATTGTGTTTGAACACAATCCGGGATTTCCAATATTGTTCTTGTCTTGCGATAGGGTTGCTACAATCACATGCAACAACTTGGCCTTTTGCCTCAAGTCCAAAGCTATCTGCTAATAGAAGGGTATTTGTGTATTCCTTGCTATCTAAACTACACAGACCACCAATCCTCTACTGACGAACCCCCTTCTCCAGCCAATAGGAAACCATTGCCCTGTTCAATCCTCATTTGCACTTTCCACATGTCTCTGACTGCTTCTGTCTCCTTTCTTTTCTTGTGTTGTCGATGGTCCATGACTGCCCTTGTTGCCCTGCAAGTGATCCTCTGATAAGACATGCTCCTTCTCCCTCACTCGCACTCAGGTCTTTAATTACTCTATGTAGATGTGTGTGCACACAGTATGTGTGTCAACACACAGCCACAGGAAAAGGTGAAGACATAAGAGATTGCTTTGGGTGGGAACATGTTGGTGCCTGCAATTCTGAGAAAACTGCCTCCGAGGTGCTAATAGGAAACCCTCCCTCCTTCGTGCTAATCTTAAAAGGGGTAATGTTGAAAAGTTATGTATTGCATAATATGATTACATTTATGAGCTAGAATTTACGATCGGTACATTTACGTAAATACTCTAATTAAGTACAGTTTTGAGGCACTCATACTTCAATCATCAGTGTAAAATTGTATTGTATGCTCTTTTATTTTCCATAATATGAATATTGATAGTAAAAATTATAATAATAATGATAATGCATTTATTTATACAGCACTTATCTAAACAAGGTTACAAAGTGGTTCACAAAATATGAATACATAGCAACAATGATTATCAGTGGCTTTCAGATTAAGATTCACCAAAAAATAAATATATAGTAATTTTAATAATCTCCAGTATATTTTCTGCCGCTGAAAACAGCTGCCTTCAAACAGAGCCAATAAAAGTGGTGAGACTGAACCAAAATAGTGTAGTTGTGGGTCGTAAAAACTCATGGATTGTGTATGAGAAGTGGACGTAGTCACCAATTTGTTTGTGGACTGCAGTTTTGAAGCCTCAAGGTCGGCATTTTGGCCGTCGCCATCTTGGTTTTTGGCCATCGCCATCTTGGATTTTTGTAACCAGAAGTGATGCGAGAGGGTGGAGCTAAGTACAAGCAAACGCTGAATAAGACATTTTTAAGACAACAAAATGTGACAATTAACATTCACGATCTGAAAGCACACTGCTGAGATTATAAATCAAATGAGAAGTAGGGTAATCTTCTCATAGGCTTCTAGACAATTGGAATTCTGCCTGGTAAAACCAAAACAATGAGCCGAAAGAAACTTAAATCTTTTATAAAGCTATGGGGAACTGCAGAGTTGGGTGACAATGCTCTGTTGTTTTCTCGCTTCGGGTGACTCCTTTCACATTATTCAATCATTTTTTTCCCATAGTAACATTTTTTTTTTTTTTAGAAATATTGATTATTGCCATTTAAAGTAAAAGATTGAAATACTTTTTACACCACTGACAGGAGGTGGCAAGACAACAGACATGAACGATAAACTGCAGATGTATTTTTAAAAGACAAGAAATTGCTGTGGGAAAGGACTTCTGTCTGTCACTTGCAGGTTTGATACATATTAGCAGTAACTTGTCACTTCAAAATGAAACATGTACAAAATATTAGCAACTCACCAAATAAATATGGAAATTGTAACACGGGACAGTTATTTGACATGTGTCAATCTACCCTACATGGGCACTTGTATTGATGGTATACGTTTCGTAAGAGAAATCCATCGTGACCTTAAACTGCCCTTATTGTCTTTTAAGTCTGACAGACGCCGTAGGAGCTCCAATTGGCAACAGTTTTCTATTGAAACTACAAAGGCAAACTTAATTTGGTTTGGATGACACACGCGGCCACACGGACGCATAGCAACATCAAGAGTTGAAAGAACTAGCTGACCGTAAAAGGTTTGAAGCTGATTTCTGGCGAGGCAAAACCTTCTTCATTATTCAATTGCTCTTTTTTTGTCTGTTTGCCAGCTGTAAAGTGTTTGAAGTGGCCGAGTCTTGAGAGGAACCATTTACACTGACAATGGTTTGAAGTACCGTAAGGCCACTTTCTTGGCTGTGGTTGCACAGTTACGTTTTTGAGACTCAGCTTCACTGTGTACAATAACAGGGCAAATACATTAATGCTGAGCAACTCTGGGAAGATATTACTCATTCTGTGCTGTGAGAGAACTGTGAAAGCATTGCTCAAAGGCAATACCCAAAGCCAACAGCTCGAGACAGGTAGTTTCTATGGCACTGAAGACAGAATCAACAACACAGCATTTAGATGACAGCTGTTGGCTGAAGAACTGTTTTGGGTTTTTCTTTCTCTCCCTGGAACATGCTGTCACGTCACGTGAGATCTTCAGCACAACTCGTACACCTTTACAACTTGTCAAAAGTTGCATCTCGTTTAGCTTTCAACATTCATATTCCACCGAGTGTTGCCTTTTGAAACAAATAGTAAAAGTCAATGCAAGGCTCTGGCACACACCAGGGGAAAGAAAAACGATATCGCTTTTCACAATGTTTTCTTTTTTTAGAGCAACAGACGCTTAAATTAAATCATTAAATCAATCTCTGTCTTGAATATGTTTGATGTGTTCTGCAGAAGCTCTCACTACATGTGAGAGCTTATTCCACTGTTTGTGAATCTCTGAACAAAACTTGGATCACAATTTTAAGCTTGTGTGCTCAGCTGGTGGTTGGAATTTATGACGTTTGGCCATCGATTACATGCTATAGTAAATACAATTTGACTTCTTCAAACATCAGGGTCTTGTTTGTGGCCACACAGTTGTTACTGTTTGCCTATTACAAGCATTGCCTTTCTAATTGGTTCATCAGATTAGAAAGATTTCCCTGTGTGGCTTGAGTCACATAAAAACATACAAAGGATGGAACACAGATTTTACAATATACACTCGATTTTGGGCATAAGGGACAGTATTGTCTGCTCAATCCACTGCTTACATCCAGAGTGAGATATATTGTCATATAGATAGATTTCCATGACATTTTGCTCAAACATTCTTGGTCCCGAGAAGATGAATGATTTTTTCTTTCATCTTCCTTTCTTTTGGTCCGGAAATTTCCTCGAATACGTCAATTTTTTGAAAATCTGTGGTGGCATTTCTATCCATCAGTGAAGAGATGCATTTAGTAGCATTGAACACTAGGGGGCGTTCTCTGTACACGCAATTACGAACACGAAACAAAACTGCGTTATCTTGCATTGGCTAGATCTGGTCGCTGGCTTTACAGTAAAGCCAATTAAAAGTGAATAACTCTAAACATCTCAGTCTCTGCCTACATTCTTAGTAAGTCAGGGACTCGTGGCTCTTCATGAGCTCTAGATGCCTGCTAAAAGCACCTAGCTGGAGGTGTCCTTTGCTACAAACTATTATCATTTCACATTTGATGTATGGACAAATAACACAAATGTGTGTTGCCCAAAAGAAGTCATGTCTACCAACGTATCAGTGCTGAAGTTTATTCTAACCGCATTGATAACAAATCAATTTTCTGAAATAAAATTGACAAAAATGAATGAGTAAATATAAATGTTCATGGCCGGACATGAAGAAAAAAAATATATCTGTTGCAATGTAGAAGGCAGACTTACTTTAACACCTGGCAGAGTGTCCACATATCCATTTCAGAAGGAGTCATAGCATGTGGGGGGGCCTTTCCCTCTCAGGCGTGATTTACAACCTCTGGGTTCTGCTTCTGTTTATATAGAGCTAATTACAGACACACGCACACAAAGAGACACACACACACACACACACACACACACACACACACACACACACACAGCCTCTAGCAAGTATATTAGGTACCCGAAAAAAATGCTTACTCAGCAGTAAAAGCCTTAATCATAAGGGCTTCCTTGCGAGTCTGGACTCACCACCAATGACTAGCTGTGGAGCTCAGCTCTTTAATTTAGCCACCGCTTTCCTGTTGAACTGTGTCAGACAATCTCAGATCATTGTGTCTGTGATGACTATGACCACGCTGATAAATGTTGGTACAGTGTTCATCCCTCCTTGTATTTGTGTTTTACAGCCACAGTAGATTGGTGGCACAGAGTAGGTCTCATTTATGGGACTGCTGTTCTCTAATAATTTGTCATCCTACTTTGTGTCTGCTCCAGTTTAACTTGCTAGCTTGTTGTTTGTGTTTTGTCTCTCCTGTCTCCAACAAATGCTGAACACACGTTGATCTAACATCAGCAGGAAACACACTCAGAGTGACCCCAGCGCTCAGAGGAGACCTGTGCTAACTGCGTCGTAAGACAGAAATGACCTTGGCGGGCCGTTCACACTGTCGCCATAGTAATTACAGCCATTGCAACGCCTGACTGTCCAGTATAGAATTAGTGACATGAGGTATGAGGGAGACAGGATGCCTTGAGGACATGGAATGACTTGTCTTCTAATTCCAGGATTCCAGGAAGTTATTCGATTAATGTTGGCTTTTAAGAGCAGTTTGTGATAATAGAATAGTTACACGTACGCAGATGAATGTGCGTGATTATTTTAAAGAGCTGCAGAGACGGTGAGGCAGTGTAACATCTGTCCATAACTACATAAAAGGCAGGACACTTTAATGCTCAACCAACTGACTAAGTCTACGCTTTTCTGAGAAACTCCAAATTATTGAAATGTTACACTGAGATTAAAACCAGAAAGTATACCAAAGGCTTTGAATAGATTAGTATTTCCAGGAAGGCCTGGGCAGAGTTTATGCACAGATGCTGCAGATTAACTGTCTTAAATTTATGTCTTTGTTCTGTTGTAGAGGTGCATGGGACTGAGAATCCTTTTACCAAAAGACCTGCCATAGATGCTTGGATTTGGCAGGAGTCCGCCAAGAAACAACACCTGAACGAGCGCAAAACCAAGATGAAGACGAATCAACTAGAAGACCCTCGAACCCATAAAGTGCTGCAGGTCAGAACAAAACCTTCAACTGTTTTTCACAATTCATGATTAACTTCCTCACAGCTTTTTGCTGTGACTCAAACTCAAAAGTTGTTCATTATTTGATTAAAGGTTTGTTGTACGAACATGTTGGCTGATTTAAAACATTTCAAGGGCAACAACGGAGGTGCAAGTCAGTCAATTTATTTGAAAAATGTATTTCCACACTGATCGTCTGGATCTGAAAATGGTGTGCCCCTTTTCTAAATACAAATAACAACACCAGAATTTATTTACACCACGACTCCAGTCCATTTATGAGCTGGATATCTGAATACATGACCTTTACAGGCACAGTAGCAGATATTGTAGTAAAATAAAAATGATAGAATATCTTAGTGCAGGTAATTTAGCATGAACGTAGGGCCCTCTTTCTCCCTATAAACTATTTGTTTCCTCCCACGGCAGATTTCCAGTTAACATTTTGTGTGTTGCGTATTGTAAAGCAAGCAGTGACAAAGGGTCAACAATGTGCTGTGTGAGCACCATTGTCTGGTACAGTAGTGCCCTCCTCTGGGCACTCTTTCACTCAAACAAGCATACGCACGTGCACACAATTGCTCTTACATTCATTCCCTGGGGGACTTGACCTAACCTTACTCCCAGCAACCTCATGCCTAACTCCCTAACTTAACCCTCACTTTAACCAAAAGACAAGTTCCAACCCTGGTGTGGAGCACATTTCTGTCCCCATTTGGAGATGAGTCCCTATAATTTGACCAAATATTTGTCCCAACAACATGACTAATTCAAGCACAGGTTCATGTTCTTTTTATAGAACTGTGATGTGAGAATGTATTCACATCACAGTTCAGTTGTCAAAAAATGTCAGAATGTTGTCCGTATTGAATAGCTGATTCAAATAAGAAAACATCATGCAACGAAGTTGATAATGGACTAATAATGAAGTTATGTGCAATGCTATTTAGGAAATGATGTGGTAGTTAGCCTACATATATGCCTACATATATTTATGCTGTATATTCCTTCGAAAATCATGATGTCGTTCCACTTTTAGAACACCAAAAGAGGCAATGCACTGCCTCTGTGCATTTATCGATGCATTTCCAATGATGTATGAAGAAAGTAGAAGAAACATTAGCGACAATAACAAAAAATAATTGTCTTAGTCTCAATAATCAGCATCTTCCTGATGAAAAGTAAAGTTGTTGTTTTGCCCTCCACAGTGGAATGTGTGTTGGCAGTTTGATGCAGTCTAAAGATTACCCCGCCCCCCCCCCCCCCCACCCCCACCACCACCACCACCACCCTCCATTCTTTAACACTCACTCAACATTTCACAGTCTCATACGCAGCTCCACAAAAAGTAAAAACAATTCCGGGAAAACCCTTTATGGGGTGGCGTACAAACAGATAAATTCTTTCTGTTTCATGCAAATGAGCGTGGGCCCTGGGGGCGACACATGTGGAGGCCCATGTACTGTATGTCTCAATATGGCAAACAACTACGTGCATTTGCTCATTTTCTCCCACACTTAACTCACTCACTCGCTAGCAGCAAAACAAAAACAAAATAAATTTAAAAAATCATGGGCGGGAGGGTGCAACACAATTGTCAACATCATTAGAAGCAACAAAAGAGAGAATGTAGTAAAATAAGTCGTGCAGCTGGCCTGGGGGAGCAGCTTCAGGGCAGCTGGTGTTAAGCATGGATGCACTTTGTTCCGCTTGTTCTTGTGAGGTCAAATACTGTACACATAATGCTTAGATGTCTGCTGGGTTCAAATCACATTTGTAACCTTTATTTGTTCAATATCAACACATTTATTTTAGTCAATTAAAAGTCTAATTTGCATCACATTCATATTATTGTTTTCACACATAGACCCCATAACACCAGTTTTCTTTCCTTTATTTATTTTTCTTAACCTTTGGCCTCATTAAACCTTTTTTCGAAAATATATATATATAGAGATAGAAAAGATGAGCTGACCAGATATCTGTTACCAGATGTTCCTCATCTTCGCTTGAGGCTACATTAGCTTCCAGTTACAATGCACACTAGAATCTCCAACAAAACTTTTGATGGTGAAGTTCAGGGACGGACTGACCATTGGGAACAGCCGATCCATTCCAGACTGAACTGGCCGCCTTCTGTCAGTATTTACTGCATGATTTTGATTCACGAGGAGTACGGCAATGTTATAGGGGTGCAGTGCAGTCATTGGACTCTTTCGACATCTAGAAATTGAAATTGTAGATTTCAGGGCAAGAGGAAGGGAATTCTGCACCTGATTTAATGTGGTCTTTTTCTTCTGCACATTTAGTTTATTTTTGCTCTGATTTAGTTTTCTTTAGTTTTTCTCTGAATAACTCATCACTCTTTAAAGGACAGGTCTGAATTTCTACAATACACACTAAAGAGTTGCTGGTGTCTGAAATCATTCCTCCTCTCCCAATCTTGGAACCCATCGGCTATCGGTCTGACAATGATTTGGCCTCAACGGACAGAATTTCCTCATAATAAAAGCAGCAGAGAATATTGAGGGCACGTGACTGACTGCATTCAGTGCAAGGTCCATGACATTGGTAAATGACAGTACTATATAGCGTTTGAAAAACGTACAACTTACAACTTGAAAGAATGCTGCTGTTAGCCCACTGGCCATTCTAACTCCTGTGGTTTAAGCTCACAGTCAACCAACCCATGCGGTTGGTAAAATCTGACTTGACCACACCACAGCACGACTACTTTGTAAAGGTGCCGTCAGACGGGATTTTACCAGACACTTGGTGTGGCAAACCGCAGGCGTTAACATTTTAACTCTGGAAGCTAGTTCATCACTGTGGAAACACTCTGTTTTGGGACACAAAGTGAAAAATGTGTGCAAAAAGGATTGTAACTTTAAATGAAACCCACTTGATTTTGCTGATGCCCAACTGCTGCCTCATATTAGATTGAGCTGAACCTTAAAAATGCATTTATGCATATTTCTTGCAGCGAAAGAAAGGATATATTCAAGGACAGTGTGGAAAGTAGGAATAATTACAGCAGCCAATATCTCTTAAAACATATACTATATACAGTATATATATATAAAACGCTTAAATGCATGTAAAATAGTGTGTGACATAAAATTGACTGAACTCCTTTAATAAACAACAACAGGGAGAAAGCGGTAAAACTGGAGGGTTGCATGCACTAAGGTGTGGTTTTATGTTCCTTCATTATAAGAGAGAGAGAGAGAGAGAGAGAGAGAGAGAGAGAGAGAGAG